ATATCTTGAAAAAGATCAATTAGCGATTTCATTGAGATTATCATTCCTTTCTGGAAAATTTGGAGGGCATTTTTTCCACTTGCTCTCATTGTTGAGATTATTTTTATCATTTTATTTAAATGTTCTTGTAATTCCAAGTCTACATCATATCCATTTTTGCTTGGAACAGAACCTTTTGGTGCATAGCTATTAAAAATGTCGAACCACATATTTATATCTCTAATATACATTTCATTGATAATAATAATTAATTCATAATAAACGTTTCATTGATATTCACATTCAATTCTATCCATAAACTTATGTTACTGCAACTACAATCACTGACGCAAGCTACTACATTATACGATAGTAAATAAAGTTCTGCTATTAATTTTTAAAGTATTTCTCTTGTCATTTTTTGATCAAACCTGATGTAAACAGGTTGCTTCCAATTTGAAAAAAGAAGGTTATTATTGCAACCATACACAGCACACCTAGTACTCAGCATTTTGTTCTTCACCTAACATAAAAATATAGCTTTAAATATTTAATGACTTATATTTAAATCATCTTACCTTATAAAAAACTTAGCCAAATAAAACAATTACAGAAATATTAAAATAAATCACTTCGTTAATCACAAAATTGGACGAATATTAAAAGCGAAAACTAAACACGTGCACACCCTGCTCTATGTAAACAGAGAGGTCAGGTCTCGTGCTGACGTCACTAACTTGGCATTCCTGGCTAACATTGTAGAATAGGGATCTGGCTATCCTTGTAGTATATAGTCCTTGGGCACGGTTCCTTTGACTTTTTTGTTTCTATCAATATGCTCTACAGCTCAGGGCACGTTCGTAAAGTCGAACGAGTTAAATGAGAATGACGTCGTCGTTATTCTTATTTCGTTAGACTTTTCGAACGATTCGTTTAGAATTAAATGGCTGTTTCTAAAATCGAAGATACAAATGTTGCTAGTACAGCCTTATCCGAAATATTTTTCTTAGATTGCTTCGGGTGGACAGTTACTTCAATCATTTCATCTTTTAATTCACAATTTAAACACTCGAGTAGATTTAGAAACATCGATATCGTCGAGCGCCATTTTCTTAACGAAGTAAACTAACTCTTTCCTTCGTGAACTTCGTTAGAGTTTCGTTCGAAACGTCATCACCGCAGAGCATGCGCACTGAGCGAGACTACTACTATTCGAACGATTCGTTACTAACGCGTTTAACTCGTTTGACTTTACGAACGTACCCTCAGTTAAAGTCCCAATGGTAAGATGAAGGGTTGGCAACCCTCCAAACTGTAGCCCCTCTGTGCAGGGGCGCCGCTAGCTGTTTGAACGCCCGTGTGCAATACCGATTATGCCGCCCCCTGTTTAACTACGATTACCTATGCTGAGCTTGCCGGAAAGGCTCTTTTCCGCCCCTGGACGTGCCGCCCGCGTGCGGTGCACGCCTTGCACGCCCGCTTACGGCGGCCCTGCCTCTGTGCGAACAATAAAGTCAAAGGAACCATGCCCCTACTCGCGACCCTTCGCGAGATATAAGCCCCTGAAAATTTTCGGAGGGCTATATCTCGGGAAGGGTCGCGCGTAGGTGCATGGTTCATTAGACATTTATTGTTCGCACAGAGGGGGGTTGCTACCCCTTCATTCGGAGGGTCCAATCGCGTCATACGGATGTATATTTTTACCTATTAAACATTCTATAAATACTTTAAAATAGTTTAATTTGTTTATTTACCTTCGCCTGTAAACCTCCATTTTAAATGTATCCGCCATTTTTTCAACAAATTTCCCGTGAGTCAATGCGCGATGTTCACTGAGTCACGGGGTGTCGTAAAAACGTGCGGCGCAAGGTTAATCAAGGCATATAATAAGGCAAGACATATAATAATTATTTATACCATTCCGTGGTATAAATGATAAATTCATATCAATAATAAATTCCTATTACAAATAAAAATATTTTATTGTTAATTTAAAATCATCGCTAGGGCGCCTCTAGTGCCCGTTTTGGCATACCGTTACGCGAACAGACGGACATGCGTTCAATGGATTATATAGATAGATTACGTCAGATAATCTATTAAAAACACATTTAGATAAGTCTACGGTTTTTACTGGCTTATCGAACAAATCGAATACGAATAGACCTTAGACCATCACTGACGCGCAATTAACTGATTGCCCCTGGAAGTCGGCTTCTTACAGAAACACAGCTTCTCTATTATCAAATGTCACGGCACGTCACTGCCAAACATTGCCCTCGTCTCTGACAGCACAACTTGATAACAAGTTGTGCTGTCAGCTCTTTCAAATGTTCCTTTGAAAGCAGCTCTCCATGACTTTCTAGCAATTCATTGGCCTCTGTGCTAAAATTTCCAATGTCAACATTTTGGTCATTCATCACAACACATCTATACTGAAACATGCTCAAACCCAGAAAAGTGTGAAACTGCATCAAGCCACAATTTCTATCAAACATCATTCCTACATGATTGACTTCTTCCCAGTCTATTGAAATGCTTGTTGTGTTCTTACATACAAAAGAATTAATAAAGTTTAATTTTTAAATTTTGTAAATATTATTATTTACAGTAAGTTTAATAAAACATTCCTTAATCAGCGTTTAATCATTAACTTTACATAGAACAAAAAACTGTCAAATTCCATTATGGTTCTAAGTTTAACATCGCTTAATTGTCTCAGCAATGTATAGACATATAAATTACCCAAAAAATTACTTTATAGAGAAACTTTCAGGCTTGTTTTCTCTTTTGAAAATTTACAACATATTTCAATTTTGGATTGCATCAAAAATTTAGAAATTAAAGTTAAACAATTCAAAAAGATTTAAATTAACTGACTGCCCCTGAAAGTCGGCTTCTTACAGAAACACAGCTTCCCTATAATCAAATGTCACGGCACGTCACTGCAAACACCCCTCGTCTCTGTACTTGTTATCAAGTTGTGCTGTCAGCACAACTTATGAGTTAAATTCAAAAAGATTTGTAAGTAATACACTAGACTTTTTAATATAACTATTCCTTGCATAGAGGAGTGTCAGAATACTGAGAGTGTATAAAGGCATGACCTCTCACTCTTTGGTACTGATCAATATTGAAGGTAGGCAGGCAAATAATATAGTGTATATCTTATAATATGCAATACTTTACACAGAAATGAAACCAGAGTAAACAAGAAAATAGGACGTACAATGTACATTTTCATGGAAATGGAAGCACATAGCTAATCATGTTGTGAATATGCCAAATAATTGAGAGCCTGGATTAGAAAGAGTGTACTATATATCACTACTAAAATTATGTAGAATAATAAAACTACTGAGTTGGATCATACAAAACTGTAAATTTTTATNTACTTCGGTATATTGACTTATATTGACGTCATTCAGCTGACTAATCAGCGCATTGTGCCATCTGGATATTTAGTCGCATGTCTGTAGTAAGGATAGACTTTTACCCTGGTCTTGAGATTAAGGAAAGACGGACGGACGACAGTGGAAATTTATAGGTAATTTTTTTCAAATTACATCCCAATAAATTTCAATATAAATTAGAAATGAAACAATTACTTTTTTGTACAGATTTATTTTTAATTTAAAAAATATTTTCTAACCCGTTAATTTCGTAACGAATGACAGGAGATGGCAACACTTGTCTGTAGTAAACGAAGGAGTCTCGAACAAGTTTGTTCGTGGTCTGCTGATATTTGATGACAAAAATATATTTATTTCGGAAAAAATGGCTTCGACTTCGAATCCAAACCAGTCTTTAGCATCTAAAATCGAAGGATTTGATTTTCCGTTTTGTGACGAAGTGACCAAGTATGAGAAAATCGCAAAAATAGGACAAGGTACCTTCGGTGAAGTTTTCAAAGCGTGTCACAGACAATCGAGAAAGATGGTGGCTTTGAAAAAAGTTCTAATGGAGAATGAGAAAGAAGGTTTCCCTATAACAGCTTTAAGAGAAATAAAGATACTACAATTATTAAAACACGAAAATGTCGTCAGTTTATTAGAAATATGCCGAACGAGAGCTAGCAGCTTTAATCGTTTTAAAGCTACGTTCTATTTAGTATTTGACTTTTGTGAACACGATTTAGCTGGATTATTGAGTAATGTTAATGTTAAGTTTTCTCTAGGAGAAATCAAAAAAGTAATGCAACAATTATTAAATGGACTTTATTTCATACATAGCAATAAAATACTACATAGGGATATGAAAGCAGCCAATATACTCATCACCAAAAATGGAGTGCTCAAACTGGCGGATTTTGGTCTGGCAAGAGCTTTCAGCATTAGTAAAACCGGTCAGCCGAATAGATATACCAACCGTGTCGTCACCCTCTGGTATCGGCCTCCGGAATTGTTATTGGGGGAGAGGAATTATGGCCCTCCCGTCGACATGTGGGGAGGAGGATGCATCATGGCAGAAATGTGGACAAGGAGCCCAATCATGCAGGGAAACAGCGAGCAGCATCAACTAACTTTGATCAGTCAGTTGTGTGGTTCGATAACGCCCGAAGTCTGGCCCGGTGTAGAAAAGTTAGAATTGTACAATAAGTTAGAAATTCTCAAAGGTCAGAAAAGAAGAGTCAAGGAAAGGTTGAAAGCTTACGTAAAAGATCCATATGCTTTGGATCTTCTCGATCGGTTATTGACTTTGGATCCAAGCAAACGAATGGACAGCGACAACGCATTAAACCATGACTTTTTCTGGACCGATCCCATGCCTTGTGATTTAGGTAAAATGTTATCTCAGCACACACATTCGATGTTTGAATATTCTGTTCAAAGAAGAAGAGTAGTCCAGCAACCTCATCCTGGTCAGGGACCACATCCTAAACCTCTGCAGACTTCGACAACTGATGGCCAGTACCACGATCGTGTCTTCTAATGCATCGACTTAGTTAATTCTAATAACTTAAACTGTGATAATTATGTACTACCTTATAAGCCTTTATATACATGATTATTATTAACATTAAAGTTCATTTGTTTTTTGAAATTAAAGTTCATTTTATAAATGTTATTTGAAGTAATTTTTCAAAACTAATTTTGAATGAAGATTTTTTGTTCCTTTTAAATTTATTTGAAATGTAATATTCTTCTTTTATTTGCACTAAAAGTTGGGTATTTTTAATTAAACCTCAGGTCTATATTTGCTAAATTAATTTTGTGAGCTAGTTTTATTAAAATGCAAATAAACTTTAAATTATCATAACTTAAAACAATCGGAACAATTTTTCAAATAATTTCATGTATACTAAAAGATAGAATAATAACTGAAATGTGTAATGAATATTTATTTACTGTTTATTGGTTTAGGAGTGAATTTAAACAGACGAAAACATTTCATTGGTAACCCATGAAATGAATTAATATTCTCTGATTATTATAAACTAATTCAGTCTTGATGTACAATTATACATTGAATATGTAATTTAATTAAGAAAACTTTTTAGATTATGACTTAAGTTTTGACTATTACTATCATTTTGGATCTGTTTTTCATTCATATGAATCTGTTCACATATCTAAAATTCTAAAATGGATGTTTTAGCAATAGATTGAAAGTGAAGACATTTTTTACCAGAAAAACAAATTTTGTAACAATTTTGTAAATTTATATAAAATACTTTAGTTCCTTCCTTCCAATGAAAATAATTAACACTTTAGAAAGCATTGTTAGCATATATACAGAGTAATGAAAGATAAATGAAGGGTTCAGGTATAATAGGTGGGTAACCCACATGAACTTAGTTTTGGGAAAGCTGCAAATAAAGATTCTTTTATTGTTTGTACTTTAAAAAGCAAAATTACAGAGATCTCTAACTGACTTTGCCATCTTCCTATGAGCGTAAATTAATACTTTTAATCATTTCATAAAATGAATGTTAAGTAGAGCAATCTGTTAGTAATAAGTATTCAAAAAGTATGCATTTGTGGGTTAAAGAGTTGAGTATAAAAGCCATTTTTATACCTAAACCCCTTAAATATTAAAAATAAATTTATTNTTTTTTACCAGAAAAACAAATTTTGTAACAATTTTGTAAATTTATATTTTAACATAACCAAAAATATAAATTTTTCATTCATATTCACAAAATATTAATTAAATTTGGTAAACAAGCTGTTTCAAATAGTTTATTGCACAGAAGGTGTCAAGTTTCATACATTTTTGTAGCATATGCTAGACCAGTCATTGTGAACCCTGGCTTGACCCATGCCACAATTTCAGATATCCGCATCAAATATTTAGAAATTATTAGGTTTTTATAAAATATTTGATAGATATCAAAACTTTTCACATGTACTGTGAAAGCAAGTTATAGTCATGAAAGTAATGACTATAGGGTTTATGATTAATAGTCAAGTAATGACTATTAATCATAAACCTAATAGAAAAATTATCATTAAATAAACAATAGATTTCCCATTACACAAAATATTTGTTTCCATTATCACATTTTTTATTGCATAGAAGAAAAGTAATATGTAGATTATAGTTTAAAAAATGCTTACAAATTTTACTTTGTTGTTCTTTTTTCATTACTCAAATATTTGACCCATGATTCAGAATTACTAAATTTTGAATTCAATTTTCACTCACTCACCTTCAGTAAAAGGTAAAGATAAGAAAAATACTTTTTAATTAATTAGGATCTAAAAAACTTTCTTAGAAAATGGACACTTCGATAAATTTAGACATCAAGATAATATTAACCCATAAAGGCCATTTTGTAACAAACTTATGCGTATCTCAAGCAACATGATCTGTACTTCCATATTTCTTCTCGGACCATTGCCATAGAGGACATCCACGATGCAGTGGACGCAACTTGGCAACAGACCTTGGACAATCACTAATTGCTTCATTGATAGTTTGCCTAGCCATATAGTGGCCTGTGTGGGCAATATTCATTACTGAATAAACAGGTATCTTTGTTTTGTTCTTTTAATCATTTGCATATGTCTTTCACCTCTACTGGTCCTGCAATGTGCATGTGGAATGTGCACATTCCTTCATGGTGTTGCAATTTTGAGGTGTTTACATAAATAAATCATTAGAATGGAATGCCAGTACTTTCAAAATGTACCATATATCCAGAGCTGTGGAGTCGCATAAAAATCTACCAACTCCAACTCCGGCTAAAACATCAAAACTCCACGACTCCGACTCCACAGCCCTGCATATATCTATCATCTGCTATTCCTAGGCTTATATACATGAATATATGGTAGTTTTGTTAACAAAGTTAATTATTCAATTGAAAAAAGTAAAATTTTCATTTGGCTAAAAAGCATTGTAGACTGTTCTGGGCTTTTGAACACACTACTTTTATATCTCTAAATTGTTTTTTGTACACCAAATTTGAACTTTAATACAGGAGTGGATCCAGAAGGGACTATAGGGATTGTCCTCCCATTAATAAAAAAAAAAAATTAAAATTTGAACTTTGAAACATTGTTTTATAAACATTTATGATAGCATTTAATGGCCCATCTGCAATACAATTGATGATGATGTATGATTAGATCAAAGTTACTAGGCCATGCAGCCCTGTTGAAAGTGCTATGAGAAGTTAAGATTTAGAAGCATCCAGTAGTCATAAAATTTTTTAATTTCTGAAGGTATTGGTACTTTGCAAAAGTCCTGAGTTATGTCATGTTTGGTTGTGGTATATTGCAGTCACTAATTTTACTTTTATACACATTTAATTTTACTTTAGTTAATTGTTAGTTACTGTGTCTTGCAGGTTAATAAAAGCTATTTATTATTCAAATATTTTTAATTTTTTTGTTATCCCCTTTTGGTTCTTCTAGATCCACTGCTGCTTTCATGTACTTTCAGCTGACAAAAGTTTTGAGCTATACAATGTTCTTTCTGCTAGTTTTAGTTTTAATTTTGATGATAATCATTTTTTTAAATATATCATATAGTGCACTAATCACCTTCACTATTATATTTTTAAAAACTTGGAATATACATGTCTGTAATTAGACAATACAATTTCCAAAGTAATAAACAAAACTTTTCTAATATTTGGAATATTATGGAAAGAAATAATTTTTAAAATTCAGATAAAGTTAAAAATTTTGTATATATCCAATTCTTATGAAGCAGATATATTGTATGCATAATTGTTTCATATTGCTCATCCATATCTCTAATCTATCATTTTAAATTACTCAGGTACAAATAGTTTTCTATTTTAGTATTTCTTACAAAGATAAATATGTCCAATGCAATTAATTATCATCAGTTTAAATTAATTTAACAAAATGCCCACAACTTTATCTGATGAGAGTCCATTAGATATGGAAATGTATCTTGTAATGATTTTTTCTAATAATATATACAAGCAATCTCTGACTCTTTGACATGATACATTTGTAAAGTATATGAAGTCAAATGTATGAAAGTTTATCATATTATAAAAGCAGTTAGAAAGGTAAAAATAAAAGTTCCATAATCTCTTAAGGTAGGAAAGTTTTACTTTTTTAGTGAGTACAGTAATACCTCGACTTACGCGAACCCGGAGTTACGCGATTTTCAAATCTCATGGATTCCTCTTTTGTTTGAGCACCATGCAACTCTTGATTACTCACTCCCCCCACGCTATTGCTCAGCTTACATGTTCAGACGTGTAGCGCGGAATGGACACATAGCTACAATTTCTTTTGTGTTATTTATTTCTGTGTTTGTTATATCTACGAAGACTTGAGAGACTCTGTGTGGTGATTTCTTGTAACCGTAAACGAATCAAAAGACGAGATAAGATTAACGAGAACATTTATTAGCTTACATATATTCAACTTGGATTTTACACAAATTGGGAAATTATACCCCAACTTACACGGTTATCGCTCGGTCCCACCTATCGCGTAAGTTCGGGGTATTACTGTATATTATAATGCATAAAAATTATTTGAAATGATAAAACCATAAATTAAACAGAAAACAGACAAAATGAGTTGTATATGAGTAAAAGTTTGTCATTTTTATGATGAAATATTTTTAAATTTAAAGTATATTTTCCCCTCTGAATTTGAAGATAAACAAAAAATGACATAAATTGATTTTAATAATTTGGATAGAATGTAAATTATTAATATAAATATTTACAATGTTATGACTGACTAATAACAAAAAAAAAAAAAGTTTCAAATACAGAAGTTTTTTCAATTCAGTATGTTACTGACTGGTTTCTGAACTAGCTAAATGAATTGTTGCTGTTTCAAGTGATTATTTACAAATTAGTATTTTTTAAATCCTATAACTTAATATTTATGGATTTCATGTATCTACAGATATTTGAACAACTAGATATACAAACCATTCCAGACATTTATAGATAATCATCCTGCCAAATGTACAGTACAGTTAATATCATTATTACTTTTTTACTTTTTACTACAAAGTAATAAATTAATAAAGTACAATTATCAGTAGTATATATTTTATGCAATGAAATTATATAAATAATCTATTAAGATAAATATTTGTCATATTTCTCATTATTATTAATTTTGTAGTAAGTGATTTTTATTTTTCACTTACTACAAAATTAATAATAATGAGAAATATGACAAATATTTATCTTAATAGATTATTTATATAATTTCATTGCATAAAATATATACTACTGATAATTGTACTTTATTAATTTATTACTTTGTAGTAAAAAGTAAAAAAGTAATAATGATATTAACTGTACTGTACATTTGGCAGGATGATTATCTATAAATGTCTGGAATGGTTTGTATATCTAGTTGTTCAAATATCTGTAGATACATGAAATCCATAAATATTAAGTTATAGGATTTAAAAAATACTAATTTGTAAATAATCACTTGAAACAGCAACAATTCATTTAGCTAGTTCAGAAACCAGTCAGTAACATACTGAATTGAAAAAACTTCTGTATTTGAAACTTTTTTTTTTTTTGTTATTAGTCAGTCATAACATTGTAAATATTTATATTAATAATTTACATTCTATCCAAATTATTAAAATCAATTTATGTCATTTTTTGTTTATCTTCAAATTCAGAGGGGAAAATATACTTTAAATTTAAAAATATTTCATCATAAAAATGACAAACTTTTACTCATATACAACTCATTTTGTCTGTTTTCTGTTTAATTTATGGTTTTATCATTTCAAATAATTTTTATGCATTATAATATACAGTAATACCCCGAACTTACGCGATAGGTGGGACCGAGCGATAACCGTGTAAGTCGGGGTATAATTTCCCAATTTGTGTAAAATCCAAGTCGAATATATGTAAGCTAATAAATGTTCTCGTTAATCTTATCTCGTCTTTTGATTCGTTTACGGTTACAAGAAATCACCACACAGAGTCTCTCAAGTCTTCGTAGATATAACAAACACAGAAATAAATAACACAAAAGAAATTGTAGCTATGTGTCCATTCCGCGCTACACGTCTGAACATGTAAGCTGAACAATAGCGTGGGGGGAGTGAGTAATCAAGAGTTGCATGGTGCTCAAACAAAAGAGGAATCCATGAGATTTGAAAATCGCATAACTCCGGGTTCGCGTAAGTCGAGGTATTACTGTACTCACTAAAAAAGTAAAACTTTCCTACCTTAAGAGATTATGGAACTTTTATTTTTACCTTTCTAACTGCTTTTATAATATGATAAACTTTCATACATTTGACTTCATATACTTTACAAATGTATCACATCAANATGTTAATCTTACAAAAATAAAAACTAATTTTATGAATTCATTTTCTTCAATATAATCCCAAACAGAACTGTTAAAAAAATATATTTATTTAACTTGTTACTACTTATTATTTAAAACAAAATAGAAAATTTTTCAATAAATTTTAATTACATTCTCATTTTTACACAGAGAAACAAAAACAAACAGTGTCCACTTTAACACTTGCAATAATTTTTATCAAAAAATGTCAATTGCTTCACAGTTTACAAATAGATCATTTTTTTTTGTAATAATAAAATACTGCAGAACAATGATTTATTATCCATTAAAAATTTATGATTTTTTTCTTAATATAGTTTTTAATGTCATTTACAAATAATTTCAGATAATGCTACATTCTATAGAAATTGGTCACAAACATTTCACTTTTTTTAGAACATCGAAGATTATGTAATGTTACAAGAAAAAATAATTTATCACAAATAGCAACTAGACAGTCAAAATAATAAACATATTCAATTTGTGGGTACCTTGTAAGTTTGCCTATTATAAGACCAAAAATTATGAAATTAAATTTTTAGACAATGTTTCAGTTAAAAAGATTAGCATTATATAATAATTTCATAGATATAATTTATGGAATAAATTCAATTAAAAACATGTAAGAAAGTACTACAGCCACTAATATAAAGGAATGATATTTAATAAAATTCCTGCAAATTTTCAGTCAGTGTTCAATCATTGTTAATGTCTTAAATTACATATAAATATATCAACAAATTAAGATAAACATCTTATTGGATTTACCACAAAATAGACATGTTTATCTTTCTCAGGTCACCTAACATAGGTTGATCAATATTTGTTTTAGCAACAATATTATTATCAAAGCACCTTATCTTGTTTCTTATATGAAATTTTCCTTTAAAAAATCTTACTGACTGAAAATAGAATTTAAAAACTTTCAAATATACAGTATTGTTAGAAAAATTGTTATGTGGAATGTTAAAGCAAGCAAGAAAGAATAAAAACTTTCTTTCAATAATTATTAATTTTAGATATATAAAAAATAAAAAATTGCAACATTAAACAACTATTTATTATGACTAGAAAAATAATTCCAACAGTTTTATTGATTATTAATGAAACAATAATTATTGCAGTTATAAAACTGGTATATTGTATAACAAACTGATAGTAAGAAAAATTCCTTCATGACGAATATTTTCAACAGTAACCTTTCTTCAATCTATTACTAACATTTATTCATGCAAATTATTTGGATATATTTTGCAAACAAGTATATTATTCTTTTAATTTGAGCCACATTTAACAGTATATTTATCATCAAATATATTTTTTGTCAATACTGATTAAAATATTAATTTCAATTAATATGTAAAATAAAGTGAGACATTATCAAAATTTATGAACAATTTTTATAAAAAGAAAACTAATGTATGATTATTACATAGTAATTATTAAATATTCAATTTTGAGAATTAAATAAACTAACAATTTTTAATATCCTTATCATCAATATGAAAATATAAATTATCATCTATTAAAACAAATCTATGACTATTGAATTTTCAGCTATAATTTGTCTTTCTTTGATTTATTCATATTTATTAATTTATAATTAAAATAATAGTGTTTTCATTTAATAATTTTGCTGGAATTAAGTAAAATATTTTAAATATATCTTTAAATTTGTAACACCAGTCCAGCTGATGAAACATTATCTCCACCACCACCTGTTTGTAGAACTTCTGTACATACAAGCACAGGAGCCACACATATTTCTATATCATCCTCTTCCCAACAAGCAACTGGCTTTTTAGCTTCGAATATAATTTTTTTTGCATTTTTTCCTCTGCTTGTGGTAAAAGAATCATCCATAATGAGTTTGGCTTTGTCAGCATCAATTTCGTCAGACCCGCAAGTGTGGCGATGAGCTGTCAGTGCTGCTTTGGCTGCAGCAGACATGGAATTTTTCCAGGATGACTTCTTTTTGGTCATAATGGCTTGGAATGCTAATGTATGGACATGAAGTCGAGTTAATTTTCTTCTTCCATTCACTTCTTCTGTATCTTGTAACAATCTAAATAAGAATAAAATCAACCATATGGAGTACAAAGGATAATTTTCTATTCTTGAATTTATTTCATTATATAAAGCAGTGTTTCTCAACGGGGCGATATCGCCCCCATGTGGGCGTTTTTCCATGTTGAGGGGGCGATTAGTAACAATTTATATTTTGGGGGGCAAAAAACAATTTTCTGGGCAATATAGTGAAGCATTATATTAAGAATAATTAGATATTTTATTCATTATATCATACAATAATTAAACAAATAACATTATACTAGTCACTAGTCTATTCAACGCAGTACGAATTTGGCATTAGCCTTGGCTTCTGGCATCGGAATTTTGAAGTGAAGGGAGCAATACTACGTAACAGTTTTATTGAAGGGGGCGATACTGCGTTGAAGGGAGCAATGATTCGTTTGAGGTTGAGAAACACTGATATAAAGTAAGCAATTAATAATTAATATTAACAGTCAACCAAGATAAAATCAAAATTACTTGATTCTAAAAATTCTAATTTGTTCATGAAATAAATGTCAATTAAGAACTATTAAATCCATAAGAGTTTAATACTAGAAAAAATATAAAATTAAAACTGTAAGTGTTATTTTTAAAAAAATAATAATCATTAATTTAAATCTAAAAAATTTAATTTTTGCTTAAATTAAAATTTTAAAATGATCATCACTTAGCTCATAAATTAAGCAGGAAAAAGGTATTTGACTGGCTAAATATGTAAATTTAAGTAAACAAAATAATTTTTTCAAAAAGGAAGTATTTTCAATTCTTGAAATCAATATATTCAAAAACTTTGTCATCAATTGTTTTTTGTTTGTAACTTGGTTTGTTTAAACAGAGAATGATTTACTTTTTTATAGTGATTTAAAATAAATAAATATTTTTATTTTATTTTGTAAATAAATAAAATAAAACTAAAACAAATTAGAACCATTAATGACTTTAAATTCTAGACCATTAAATTTGTGGCTTAATCCATTTACAAGAATTCCATAAATTTATTCATTGCTAATGAGTCATCAATCATTTATATATTCTTAACATATAATTATTGAAAAGTTAAATAAATAATTTTGATCTTTAATTCTACATTATATACTTAATTCTACTTACCTAAATACATCCCTCATTTGATCTAAAATAATAGCAACTCTTGGATAAGATTCAGAAACAAGAGTAATATTTTTGTACATAATCATGTGATATAAATTTGGAAGTTCTTGTTCATTCATACCTAAGGAATCTGACATAGGAATGATAGATTCAATTAAATCAGACATTAAAGTTTTATCAGTGAAAGATGCCATTTCAAAATGAATCCGTGTTGTTTTAGGCTGACGTGCCAACATATCTTGTACCTTCTGTAAACGGCTTTTCCTTACATCTATAAATGTAAAAAATATCTCATTCATTAACATAAACATAATTATGTTAACATTATTAATAAATTGCTTGTTTATATATTTCACATAGCACACATGCAAAACAAAATACTATTTTTGAAATCATATAATAAATGCTTTATTTAGAATGGAAATTACTACATATAAATTACTTCTAAGTGATTTCAACTTAAAGAGCTTATTTTCAGAAATTAGATAATGATAAAAAGTAAAAGGTTAGTTTTTTTTTTACTAAACTAACAAATATTTAGAATTGTAGAAGTTAATATTTATAAAGAAATTAAGAATGTATTCAATCAATCATTCAAGCAAAAATAATTTGTTACTGTGATGATGGTGTTATTATGGAAACATATTAAGTAAAATAACAAAGGACAATATTAATAAACCCATAAATTCAGCATAAAATAAACGGTATAAATGTACTAGAGTGCAAATTTTTGTGCTACATTACACTCTAGCTAGAATTACATAAATTGAATGTCCAAAATTCTTACAGAAATTATAAATCTAGAATGTCAGTTTCGTGATATATGAAAATCCAAAAAATGAATTTAAAGACTACCATAACAAAAAGTTTTCATCTATAGCTATGTAGATGATAATATTAGAAATTTATATTATTTCATTCTTGGGAATGACATTCATGCAAATGCAATAGAGTAAGAGAGAGCAAAAATAAGTGCACTGTACAGTACTTATGGGAGGCACAGCCACTTCTCCATAGTTGCAAGCTTATGATTAAAATTTAAAAACTGGCATATAACCCACTCTCACATAATCTGCATTCTCTTCAAATTGCCCTTTAAATACAGATAACTTGCAAGTTATATGCACAAAAATATAGTAATAAAGTTTTACTCTAACACATTCTACTCTTTTTTTCTTCCTATTTTTTGAATACAGAAACTGCATTATATCCCACTGCTGAATAAACATGAATGTTTATACTAATCACTGCATGATATCTGAAATAATATTACTATATTTACTCACATATTAGACAATCTTGCATATAGGACAGGCATGGCCAACATATGGCCCGCAATCAATCTTTCAATATTAGCTACTGAAGTCCAAATAGCTGAATGAAAAATTCTGACGCCTAAAAAAAAAGGTCAATAACTCACTGCGCATTTAGAGTTAACCCTCCATTACAAATCTCGTAAGTACAGTGCTGAGTGTTGATAAAGCATGATAATGTGAAAAATGAATCTGTAATCTCTAATCTAATCATGACACCACAATGAGATCTCACACCACCTCAAAATCTTCCTAGGCAGCCTCTGGCCTGGAAGCAAAAACTGTTGGCCACCCCTGATATAGGATGTGAAGTGACTTTAACGATCAAAATAAAGAAAATTAGATTTATTAATACAATTTTAATTTTATTTCGTTTAATCACAAATAAAATATCAAATGCATGTAAATGCACAAATTGTCATGCAAAAATTACTGGTATTTTAAACTTTAAGGAAAAATCTTGTAAAATCGACATAATTTGTTTGTGTGAAGCTGGACAATCGGAAACCTTTTTTGTCAATTCTAACAAATCATATCCAATCTCCATCAATTACTCTTATGAGTTTATCTGAATTCTGATTTCTGGATAATCATCTGTTTTCACATGGGAATGGATTAAAACTTATATCGGGCTCCCATGTGATTTTGGAATTTCAATTTGGAATTCAATTCAAAAGCTTTGCTTTTCCTATTGCTATTCATCTATACTCCTGAAAATACACAAAAACAATTCAAATGACCCAAATAAAATACTTTTGTATTTAAACACCAGAGGGTGAGCATCCAGTAAAAATTGTGAATACACAGTTCACAAAAATTATTGCAAAAACACAAAAAATCCTTCACTCATGCATACAGGATGACTTGGGTTTTTGAAGTAGTGAAAAATGAATAAAAACCTCATCTTATATGTGAGTAAATATGGTATATCCACTTAAATACAAACATTTTAATAATAAAAATTCCAAATTTTTCCAATAGGATTTTAGCAAAACTATAAAGGACAGAAATACTGTTTCATTACACCTATTGTTGTGTGTTTCAATAAAGAAAATAAATTATTTAAATCAATATATTTATTTAAAAACTAATATTTCTGATTGCTTTTATCAGTCATCCTCAGGTTCAGAAATGCAATCTTTTAAGTTAGATTTTTTTAAAACTTAAAATTTATTATCATTACTGTACTATAACCAATCTTTTTTTTGCTTTGCTTGTTTCTTTTCTGCATATTAGTTCTTAATACTTTTCCCATGAAGTCAGAAAAGTCATATAATATTGCTATTTTTGAAATTTGTTTTACTTTCTCCCAATATTTTTCCAATTACAATTATCTTCATGGCTCACTTTATTTGTGATTTAAATATTCTTAAGTTTGTATAGAAGAAAATCTTTACTAAATAAATATCCAACTCAGCTTTAAACTAGGGTTTCTCAAGTGAGATCCCGGGATCCCAGTTGTTTTTTAACCCGGGAAATATCCTGGGAAATTCTTCTCATCCCGGGAAGTCCTGCAAATTTCTTAAAAGTTCACTTTTTTCTTATTTTGTGTTAAGATTGAATAAATTTTGCAAATAGAAAGTATAATTAACACAAACTGTCAGAATACATTTGTATTTATTAATTTTAAACCTACTTAGTTTTTTAAATTGTTATGGCATGTCTCAAGTGGTCAATAATCAGTACATAGCTTATTTGTGGCAGGACTCTGAAAATTCTTTACTTGTCAGAACCTGTAATATATGGAATAATTGTGCTTATGCTGTCTTAATTTTTAACCATGCCCAGTAGCTTCAATAACTGCATAACACCAGGTTGTGCAAATTGGGCAAGGATACAAACAAGTACAAAGTCTGCAAGTATGAAGTTTTTCTTCATAAACCTGATTATTAAAGCCAAACAAATTGCCAAATTATCGAGCTATAAGCTTGATGCCGCTATTAAAGCAGCCAACGTAAAACAAACCAAGAATACTAGAGAGCAAAAGTAGTACTACAATCTCAAAAACGAAATAGAAATCTTCCAGGCTATTTGTGAAATAAACATATAACATCTCCCTTCTCTTAAATGCACTAAAGACGATTCCACTAACATTAATTAAATCGGAAAGGGCATTCTCAGTAGCAGGACTTTTCATTACTAAAATAAGAATCAGATTGACTGATTGGAGTATTGACCATCTTTGTTTTTTAAAATCTTATTATAAAAATTTACAATAATATTTTGTATTATGTTTTATTTAAAAAACAAAAATTACTTTTTAAGTTAGAAGTTTGATCTAAGTTCATTTTTTTAAATTTTCAACTCAATTCAAAGCATTTTTATTATTGTTGTATGCAGTTTCCAGCAAACTTTAATAAATTTTTTCTATTTGTGAAAATTTCTACATACTTCAAAGGTAATTTTTAAAATATATCTTATACAGCATTATTAATATGATTTTGGAGGTTGCAGAACAGTATTAAATTACTTTAAAAAATGAAAAATAATTATATCATTTGATTTCATGATATTTTGTATATCTCAAAAATAATTAATTCTATCCCAGAATCCCAGGAAACAGTTCACTTTTATCTCGGAATCCCAGGACAAGCAAAAGACTGGGAAATGAGAAACCCTACTTTAAACATTTAATAAACCATCCATACACCTTTCTTACTGAGATATGTTTAATCAAAATACTAATGTTTTCGACTTAATGCAATAGGCCATCTTCAGGTGTAACCAAACTTCAAACATATTTTAAAAACAACATTTAAACAACAGAACATCCGAACATTTTTACATTTTGTTTTAAATTTAAATGTAAAAATGTTCAGATGTTCTGTCATTTAAATGTTGTTTTTAAAATATGTTCAAAGTTTGGTTACAGTGGAAGATGGCCTATTGTATTAAGTTGAAAACTTTAGTGTTTTGATTAAACACATCTCAGCAAGTAAGGTGTATGGATGGTTTATGAAAATCTTTACTCAGGAATAAGACATTAAATGGATAAAATTTTCTGTTCCATAAATCTGTATACTATATGATCTTAAAATTTAGATAGTGTACTTCCATCAAGCTATGCCAATACTTTATTTTTAGCATAAAACCCAAAGAACTGTCCAAAAAAATTAGCAAAATTATCAATATTCTTTTATTTTCTAAATAACTGAAGCATATTCACTGAATTTATAGAGCCTGAACATTAAATAATTTTTTCACTAACATTTTTCTATTATTTTCAAAATAACTTCTTCTGTTCTTCTCACAAGAAGAAAGCACACTGAAACTCCTCTTGACCGAGAAAGTATTTAGCTTTAATATTGAAAAATGATTCATATATAATGACAGGAAATCCACAAGAATCTTCAGACTTTGATGAATATTACTGAGTCTACAGTATAAACTACTATAGACGCAATAATATTCATTGAAGGTATAAAAAGATTAATTCTGTTAATATCAACAGAAAAAATTCTTGGTATCACATAATATTAAAATATTTTTATTAGAGTATGGTACACTATTTTTCATAACATAACATAATCATATTTTTATAACATAAAAAATATGATTATTTTTTGTTATAAATATAAAAATATTTATTGAAGAATTTCCCAAGATTTTTCTCATTAATGTGCAAATATAAAATTAGTATATTTCTTCTTTTAGAAATCACACTTATCTTTGTGAGTCCATAACTTTATATTCTTATTCTTCTGTTATAAATTATATGTAAACAAGCAATTATTTATTGTGACATCATCACAATGCTGGGCTGTAATTTTTAATCATATTTTTAATTTATTTAATTTCAAAATATATGCTCTTCACCTCAAACTAGTAGTGTCTTGTCCCTGTATATCATACTTTTCCTTTAACAATAGAGTTGTGCCAGTCATCTATTAACTGCTTTCAGGGGAAAAGTTTTGAATGGAAATAATATAACTTCTCAGAAGTTCATATATAATTAATCGGGGCCTCCTGCCCCTAATGTTTCCATATCTGGTCTCAGATTTCATCAAAATTATATCAAAATGTACCTTTTTATTTCTACTTGACAAGGCCTGCACTACAACTTTTCTATTTTTAACACTGATAGAATATTAGTGTACTTCTACTTGTTCTTTAAGTTTCTATTTTGTCATCTACTTCTTATCTAACAAGAAACATTATTTTTCAACAGAATTTTTCAGATAATAAATAGATTAAAAACAAGCAGGGACATTAGTATTTTATATACTCCTGCTTGTCTAAATCTGATGCTTTAAAACTACTTCAATAAATTTTTTCTACCAAACTATAAGTATTATATTTTAATAGTATTTTCTAATTCTAATAGCTAATTCTATCACTTTAAAAATTCATAATTAAATCTATTTAGTTCAACTTTAATATGATGATGATTTATAATGTTTGATTCATAATCAAACAATTTTTTAATGGTTATGAAAATTCTTGAAGTCATATTGTAAACAGTTCAAAAATTTTTCTAATTTCTAGCAAAAAGAATGCACTCAAAATTCCTCCATTTTGAATGCATTCTTTTTGCTAAAGAGTATTGCATAAATTCTTTTTAAATATTTAAAATTTTATATTTATTATTACATACATACCCAATGGCAATGGAAAATTATCCATCATTTGAAGACCTCCCACCACCAATAAATTAGGTTTAAATTTATCAAGTTCTGAATCAAAACTTTCTAAAGATATTAATGTGGGATTTTGATGATCATTATGAACTATAAATCTGAAAAAATTATAATCATTCAGTTTTACTAATNTTTATATTAAAAGGATATTAAAACAATTAAAAAAATGTATAACTTGAAGATTTAGTAAATATAATTATTGTTATTAATTAACATAATTCATTTACAGTTTTTTTTACTTTTTTTTTTCTTTTTCTTCTTTTACAATATCTAGTGTACAACTGAAGGAAGAAATGTTGACAATTTAAACTGTTATGCTGCAAGCATATAATGATTAACATCAGCATTTAAAGCATCTGTTAACACAGATAATGAGTTTGCATTATCAGCACATGTTAAGGTTAATAACTCAGTCCAAAAAGGCAGCTTAAAAATGCTTACAGAATATTTACCTGAAGATAATGTAAATAATATAATGAAGATACTATAGTTATCATTTTAAGTATAATAAAAACTTTTATTATATAAAGTAATCATTTTTTTGTTTGAAATCTACTTCTAATTGAACATTTTGTATGAATGAGTGAGTCAAGCAAATGTTACTACTATATTAGGAAAGTTTTTAATAAATCTCATCCTTATTACCTGTGCTTTGTTATTTGTGTGATATCTTTACTTACATAAGGTTAATTTGATGGCCTTATAAACACCTTATTTGATTTTACATATATATATATATATATGTGTGTGTGTGAAATAAAAATATATGTCTTCAAACATCACTTTACATTCATTTACATGAATGACCAAAGTAACATGACAATATCTTTGATCAAACATTCACATCATTGTCCAAACATACTAAGCATTCATGTCTTTCATCAGATATAATCTTTTCAAGTGAGTATTGTTAACAATGACAGAGCAATCATTGACACGAATGATAGTCAATCATTGAATATCAACATGACAAATATGACAATGTTTTTGTGGTTCTTTTTTGTCTACAGCATTATACCTATGATTAAGGACATTTATTTAGTTACATAACATATGCATACACAATAAAATTATTTTTATTTTTTAAAAATGAATGAATGTAAGCTTAAATAGGCATAAACTCTAGTGTAGTGCCTATATTAGTTTTCTATCTCCTGAAGATAATGATATAGGCCTATGAATAAAGTTAGTTCTTTGATTAATGAATTTTTAAATCATAATTTAAATGTGTATATTAAATATTTTCTGTAAATACATAAAATAATAAATTACCTATTATTTTTATATGTATAATTGGCATTTAAGAATAAATATATATTAATATTAATTAACAATATTTTTTGATCTTTAAGACAAGATGGACAAAGTCAGACAAGAGAGAGGGAGGGATTGAGCCTCAGTGGATGTCCATTTATTTCATTATACAGTTTTTATACAGTTTATGCATTTTATAGTCAAACTTCCACATTATGAACTTTTATACAGCAAATTTCTCCATATAACAAATTTTTGCATTGTATAGATACACTGCTCTTTCAGCTAAAAATATAAGTAAAATTTCTTCTAAATAATGAAGTTATATTTCTATATAATGGATGTATTTTTTACTTTGTAAGAACTATCAATCATTAAAAGTCACTTAATTAATCCATCTGGGTCAAGTTCAAATTTAGGTTTAATTTCAAGTATCAATCTGTAAACCCTTTTCAAATTTTTCCAACTTTTAGGACCGATTTCACTCAAAAACATTTTTCTGTCAATATGGTAGATAAAACATTCTCTCTTAGTTTTTGATGTTCTACTATATATTTAAAAATCATCGAAATCAGAGAAACAATTGGGCATTGTTTCTTGTTAGAATCAATGTCATCTTAGACTCAAGAAAAGACAGTACAGTAGACCCCCCTATAGCACAGGTTCATATAATATGGATTCGTATAACATGCCAAAAAAATTGCAATCATATTCGTATAAACACACTAAAAGAGAATCGTATAATATGGTAAAACATCATCGCAGACTCGTGTCGCGACAGGACTGGTCAAATCTAGATCTCTAGACCAATAGCGAATATTGCACAAACCGTTGAGTTTAAACAAGCAGCAGAACTACTAAAAACCATTTATTTTTTAATGGCCATAAAAATTATATTTATATTAATGATATCTCCAAAGTTCAGCGAATTTTTCGCAGAAAAATAACTTATCAGAAATCACACGCTCGCCATTCGATGCGCTGCTCCATGACGAAAACAAGCTTAAGCAGTGGCATTGTCGAATGGTGCCCATTCAGTAAGTAATCCTACAATTTTTTGTTTATAGCATAGTTTATATGGATTATTCCCAAAAATTATACGTGTTTTGGAAATGTTGAGTCAAATTAGTCTAGAATCGATTAATTTTATGGAAGAAAACCTTTCAAACAGCCATAGTCCCTAAACTGCACGTGCTGTGCTGTGATTGGCTCATGTATTTAAGTAACTTGTAAAACACAGAATTCATATAAAATGGAATGCATCTACCATGTTATAGGGGGGGTCTACTATATTTCAAAAACATAAGCTAGAAAAAGTTTGAGTTGCTTAGTTATAAACTTCTTTAAAACCAAATTATTTATTTTGACATCATCACAATGCCAGGCTGCACTTTTTAATCATATTTTTAATTTATTTAATTTAAAACATATGCTCTCTATCTCAAATTAACAGTGGCTTGCCCCTCTACATTATACTTTTCCTTTAACAATACGGTTATGCCAGTCATCTAACACCTTTCAGGGGAAATTTTTGAATTGAAACAACACAACTTCCGATTTGCCTAAGTAGTACGTATATAGTTAATTGGGCCTGCTTACCCCTAAGATTTCCATATCTGGTCTCGAATTTCATTTATCTAACTCCATTCTCAAGATTAAGCAAAGACAGACAGATGGATCACAGTGGGAATTTATAGGTCTACAATTTTTTCAAATTTCAAACAAAAAATTGCCAATTTAAATTTATATTTGGCAGCCATTACATATTTTTTTATCTACCCCTTGGATTTGCATACCTCAGGTTGGTAAACATCAGTCTGAAAAGATTATACAAATTAAATAAGCAAAACTGCTTGCTTTATTATAAATCTTAATTTAGTATAAAGTAAGCAATTTAAAGTTATACAAGAACTCACTTATAATAATCACTTTTGGAATTCTCTTACTGATGATAATAGCCAACTGATAACATTAAACACTAAGTAAATAAGATTACTGGAAATTAATGGAAATTCTAGTTTTATTGACTTTTATATTAAAAGGATATTAAAACAATTAAAAAAATGTATAACTTGAAGATTTAGTAAATATAATTATTGTTATTAATTAACATAATTCATTTACAGTTTTTTTTACTTTTTTTTTTCTTTTTCTTCTTTTACAATATCTAGTGTACAACTGAAGGAAGAAATGTTGACAATTTAAACTGTTATGCTGCAAGCATATAATGATTAACATCAGCATTTAAAGCATCTGTTAACACAGATAATGAGTTTGCATTATCAGCACATGTTAAGGTTAATAACTCAGTCCAAAAAGGCAGCTTAAAAATGCTTACAGAATATTTACCTGAAGATAATGTAAATAATATAATGAAGATACTATAGTTATCATTTTAAGTATAATAAAAACTTTTATTATATAAAGTAACATTTTATAAGTGTATTTTAACTAGTATGTTTTGGGACATACTAATTCTAGCATTAAATGACTGATGATAATATCCATGATTACAGTAAATGGACTATATTTTCTTTGCTCTTTTACAATCTTCATATCAGTAAAATTCAGAGAGGTTAGAAAAAAAATCTTAAATGTGATTTTGCAGATTTTCCATTAAAAATGTTCTTCTGTATGCTGCAAGCATATAATGATTAACATCAACATTTAAAGCAATACAATCAGTCAAGTATACATGACTGATTATGTTGCATTCATAAACATTTTTACTAGATACAGTATTATTGCTAAAGATCCATTTTTCATATTTGTTATTAAGCAATGTGAAGCTTTTTCGTTTTTCTAAATAATGAAATACACATCAACATGCAATCCAATAAATTCCAATTGGGAAAGCAAATATGATATCCAAACATTGCACCTATTGTACTGAGTGATTTTAATTAAAGTTGTCCTAGTCAGAGGACTCTGTAGCTCCAACCATTAAGCTGATTAACACCAAAATTTGTGTACTGTACATGCTATTCAAAGGATGCAGAAAAGGATTTTGCAAAGAAAAATTTTAGTTCCAAATTGTCCACTACAGGGTAAATGGTGCTGCAGGGAAAATGACACCATTGCCTGTTCAAAAACAGCTTTAGTCATGTCTTCAATGGTTTCTGCAATGATAAGCTTTTACCAGATCAAACTCCTAAGGATCCAGTTGTCTCAAATTGCATTATAATTTTCCTGATAGCCTGTGGAAACATTGGTCCACAATATTGGTCAAGTTCTTACAATGGCAATATTTGCAAACAGCGTCCACAGCATTACCCTGAATTTGGAAAATAACTTCACAATTAATGTACACTCCAACAAAGTGATGGCCATTGTAGCTGTAGTTGATAAGAATAGCATTCACTAGTTGTCAGCATTTTTATATACAGTCTTCGCTATCAAACACTGATAATGATATTAGCTCAGTATTCATTTACTGACTTCAATATTTGCAAATGTTATATCAATAGATAAATAAAATGTTATATCAATAAATTAATTATTCACTTATATTGAACACCACTAATTCATCAGTAGTTAGGTCAAGCAGTTTACCTTACAATACAAATTAGACAGATTCTTATTATAAGAATATTTAAATAGGCAATTATTATAAGAACAGTAATTATAAATACAATGGCTTTTCAATAATATTAAATATATTAAAGCTAACAATTAGTTTTACACATATTTAATGTTGTTATAATTTCTTAATGTTAAACATTTGTCTTTTTCAATTAAAAACCAAATTTGTACACTTAAAATATATATTATTATATATCTTAAATGTACTTTTGTTCATTTTAATTGTTTAAATATACTCTTAAAACTAATTTATATACTTGAAAATTGCTTTACTCTGTACAGAATAATGTACAGTACTTTCATACTGACTGACTGACAAATCATATTATATCATGCCATCAAAAAAATCAGCATAAACTTTTTTGGGACAATTAATACATTTAATGAAATTATTTAATGATATAGTAATGATGTTTCAATAAAAACTTTTTTATTTGCTTTATTATTTATTATAAAATTTTTATTTACAGAAATAAAATTTGAAACAATGTAATTTATTATTTAAAAAAATAATAGGGAACATAAATATACAAGCATATTAAAAAAATAATCTAACCTGTTGGCTCTAGGAGCTGTATATGTACCCCAGTGTTCTCCAGAAGAATATTCCAATAATAAATGAATATCATCTTTTTCTATTAATGGTCCTGAAAAAATCATATTGCTAGGTAGAATTTTTTTAAGTTCTAATGATAGTTGGGCACCAAGAAGAACATCACATCCTTCTTTAGCAAATCTCAAAGCCATGATAGGCGCATTTCCTCCAACTGTCCATTTTGAATTTTCTGAATTTTTAACAGATTCCAAGATTTCATTAAAGAGAGTTTCATTACTTATATAGCGTCTGAAAAAAAAAACAAACTTTTATTAAATCTTTTTTTTAAATATAATATAATATTTAATACTTATTTAAACATTTATTAAATAATATTAATGTTAAAAATAATATAGCATATGTATAACATAAGTATGAAAGATATGTTTCTGTGATTTTATATGATATAGCTATATCAGGCATTCATTGTTACACAGCACTCCTACAAAGTTGGTGCCCTCCAAAAGTCCAACCATAAACATAACATACTACAGGTCATATGGCCATTGGTAGTGAATCACAGTTCATTTTACATACTGATACCCAATCTTTTCTGATATGCATCTTTCACATTATTTTGCCATGACAGACATTCAAATATAGCAATCAATATATTGTGCTGTAAAATTAACCGAACATAGAATACAGACATCTCTATATGTGATTCACTACCAATAGCCATATGACCTGTAGTATGTTATGTTTATGGTTGAACTTTTGGAGGGCATTAACTTAGTAGGAGTGCTATGTAACAATGGATGCCTGATATAGCTATATCATATAAAATCACAGAAACACATCTTTCATACTTTTCCAGCAATAACTTTAATCTTTGAACAATCATTTTCAGTGTAATTTATAAGCCTGCTTCAAGTTAAAAGCTGTTCCAAAGATGAAACAGTCATGTATTTGTGATATACGAATTTTAAACAACATCACAGAATATTCAGATTCTTCCACTTTAGAATTCAACATAGCTTTCTCATCTTTGGAATGACTTCTAACATGAAGCATGCCCGTAAATTGGGCAAAAAAGTTTGTTCTTTGATTAAAGTTATTGCTGGAAAAGTACAAAAGATGTGTCCAATTTTATTTTGATTTTATCTAAGAAATTCCAGCTTTAAAAAGATACTTGCTTATTAAGATAATTATATGACTATCAAAAAGACTAATATATTACAGATAATACAATATGATATAATTTTATTAAGAAATTGGTTATTGAAAAATTATTTTATTTGTTATGGAGGAAAAAACATCATTTTTATATAAATAAAAAATTTGATGTAAAATACTGTGTAAAATATCATAATGTGGGTTGTTCTAATGCAGTGGCTTGTGGTGACATTTGATGATAGGGAAGCTCTTTCAATCCTGGATAGAATCATTGGACGTGCTGTACAATATTTTGGTGTGTAGCATCTATGAGCTAAACCACGTGAGATTGGTGCTCTGTAAAGTGCATATGCAAATGCCTGTAATTTCTGCTTTACATGATTCAAATATTTTGGCCATGAAAACTGTCCCAATTCGACAATACAGCACTTTCATTGGGAATATGCATATAAGAATGTATATTCGAATATACAATAGCAATCTTATCATTATTTTTCACATGTATAGAAATTTATAATAAAATACATAAAAAATTAATAATAAAATATTAATTTTTAATTAATTCAAAGTACATTAAAATATGAAAATAATCACACAATATGTATTTATATTTTAGAAAATACAAGAGCAGTAGTGCATCCACAGCTTTCATGGACAGCATACCATACTACTGTTCTAGTGATTCATTACGTAATTGTAAGTTCTTGATCTGTTCTAGCAGTTACATATCTCGGAGTATGTTTTGTCAAATAAATAAAATGGAAAACTGAATGTGAGTAATTATTTAATGAATGAATTAATTGCAGAACTATATTGTATTCCTTGGGCCAAGTTTTATCCAATAACTTCTGTATTTAAGGCAACTTTTCAATTTATACTATCACATGGTATAAAGATTTCAGTCAAACTTATTGCTATTTGTCAAAATTAATCAAGTTAAGTTATGTCTATATCTATGTAACAATGTTGTGAACAACATGCTGCTACCACTTTGGGTACAACAATTTGGGTTTTATCAGTTGATGAGTGTTACTGATCTTTGTGTAATTTGTTCTTATGTATTTATGTTGCAAATTGTTGTAATGTTTAATACAGGTATTTAATTATTTGTTATTAATGATGCCAATGTAAACATTTGTATTCTTGCTAAATGATTGTTCAATAACAAGATTATGGTAATGTTTGAATTGTAATTTTATTAATACTACCAGCAATACTAAAAAAAAATAAACTTGTCTTAACTAACTTTTCTTTTTTTACCATTATATTAAGAAATGCCTGATATGTTACATATTTGCATATTTTAAGTAGAATCATATTTGTTTCTCTCATTACATGTTAGCTCCTTTTATACTGACAAATAATCTAATCAACACTTTCATTTACAATCATTGATTGATAAATAAATGTTTTGTATTATTTTAATGTTATTTTAAAAACACAGATTTTATGATAGGGTTATTCTGGAATGATGTACATATTTGGACCATAAGAAATAATGGAAAAGCTCATTCCTATTTACAATTTTGATTTATGAGAATTTTTCAAGAATGATATGAATGGTCATGGTTGGACTTAACCTTGTCAGGCAGACTTAAGCTCAAATCAGGGTTAGACTGTATCATATATACTAAATTATTCAAATAGTTTAAAAATATAGGTTATATTATTCTTAAAACTAAATTCACACCAATAAATATTGAATCAAGCCTCATCATAAATCTAATTTTTTGTTCTATCTTTGACATTTTTTCATATTTGAAAGATTATGTCTCTGCTATTCCTATACCTCCCTAGTTTCTATAGTTTTTCTGAATCATTTAGCCCAAATTGTGCCTAAAACAATCAAATTAACAATCAAAAAGCTTCCCTTAAGAATAGAAAAACAAATCCAGAAACTGAAAATGTTCTAAAAAGACCTTATAATGAATTAAACACTTTCAAATGAAGATTAAACTATTTGTTCAATAAAATGTTATACTAACAATTTTATTTTCAAAATTATTATTTACTGATCTCTAGCAAATATTTTCAAGCAATATCTCATCTTTAATTTAAAGGATTGATTTGAATTGGATTATCAGATTTAATGGCACAAAGGCGTCCCAGGCCAAATTGCACCAGACAACCAATAGATTAGAAACAGTTAAAACAGCATACACAGTAGATCTGCCTAGGGGAATACCTTCTGGGAGGTCTTTTTAAGGGTAACTGGCCCCAATTCAGGAGTTACAGACATAGAGAAAACCCAGAAAACTCCACGTGGCCAGCCAGTCCTGGCAAGGCACAAACCCACTATCGAACTCCTAGTGTTCGGGGAATGGAACCACTTGGCTACTGGTGGACCAGCATGGATCAGTGATGGATACAAGTGATGTATGTACTGTACAGTACATATATATTCATAGAATTAGACATATGGTATCAATTGATAAAATTGAAATTGATAACATAACTGGGGTATTCATTTTTTAAAGAAAAATTTATAATTTAATAATTTTAGAGTAAACAGCAATATGTGTAGCATGTTTTAATTAACAAACAAGTGTTATTCTTAGAATAATGAATCTTTCTTTTTATTTTATGCGGAAATAGAGCTATTAAATTCTCCACAGATAAGAAATTGCTGATAAACACAACTTTAATGCTTAACAATGTCCTTGAAACGTGTCATCATCTGTTCTAATACATAAATTCTGATACCGAGAGATAATATAAAATGTCAATATAATTTACATTCATACTGTTTAATGTATTGGTATATATATTTCAATCTTTGCAAAGAAAATTTGTATATTGTCATCATTTAAAACTTACTCTGCAGCTGCTCCATGTTTAAAAAAATATGCGAAAACTTTTAGTAGTTCTTCCTTGTTTTGTATTGAATCGAAATGTTCCGATAATTCCGGCGCTTCTTCATTTAAAATAATTTCCGAACTCTGAATAACTACATCTTGACACGATCCAAATCCTAATCCAACTTTCGGTTTATATGTTAATTTAACACTATTTTCTGCTTTTAATAAATTATTTAGCGTACTTTGTAGTCTTTCTCTCAACAGATCATCGTTATATTTCCTATAATAGTAAGCAATTAAAATAAACAATAAACTTAGACTACATACAAACAATTTCGTTGCATTTGCCGCCATTTTCTTTCTCAACGTGAAAACATGCCCTTTAATTTTTTGAATTTTTTTTTTTTTTTTAATATTAAAAAATCTTATTAATATTTTATATATATTAAAATAATGTAAATAATTTTTAATATATATATAATTATTAAAAATAAAATTGATCTTGATTTTAATTTATACATATTTATTATCCTAATTCTCTAAATTAGCATTATATTTGATTCGTCATCTGAATAGCTTATGAGTTCATGGACACGTGTTCGAGTTGTCTGTAGTATTCTCGTAAAATTTTCAGCTGTGATTTGTCCTTGTTATGTCAGGTTCCGTTTTATTATTATAAATTGGCTGAATTCGTAATGACCATAAGTAAAAGTCCTTTTGGTGCCATAGGACAGAAATACTGTATTATACGAGGGCTGTTCAAAAAGTATCGGACCTTTATTTTTTCCACGTAAACCAATGATGCGCGGGAGGCCTCTTTAGGTGTAGTTGTGGAAGAGACAGTCATGCACAGTCCTGAATTTTTTCCCGCCTGCAGGAAGCGTCAGTCGCTGGCAGTCAGCCTATGAGTGAGAACGTGTAGTGAGCGCTCGTCGGATTCCACTAAGTTGGAAAATGACTGAACAACGTGAGCAGCAATATTGCATCAAATTTTGCCAAAAACCTTGGCGATACCCAAGCGGAAACCATTCGCAAGATTCAGCAGGCTTTCGGAGACGATCCTCGAGGCCACAAAAAAGCGCAGCAGGTCCGCAGCAATATCAAGGTCATGTTGACAGTTTTTTCGACTCTCGTGGGTGGTGTATCGTGAGTACGCACCACAAGGCCAAACCATCGCAAAGGAGTACTACCAGGAGATCCTTCGTCGTCATTGTGATGCTGTGCGACGCAAACGACCGGATCTGTGGTCGACCAAAACTTGGCAGTTCCATCGTGATAACGCACCCTCCCATTCTGCGCATCTAATTCAGACTTTCGTCGCGCAAACACAACATTCCTATGGTTCGTTACGCTCCGTACTCTCCCGACATGGCTCCGTGTGACTTTTGGCTATTTCCCAAGCTGAAAATGCCACTAAAAGGAGCCCGATTTGAGTCGAGAGAAGACATCGTGCGGAATGCGACGGACCGGCTGATGGCCATTCTAAAAACTGCGTTCCAGCAGTGTTTCCAGCAATGGCAGGAGCGCTGGGAGAAGTGTATACACTACCAAGGAAACTACTTTGAAGGAGATTTAAGGTTTTGTACCTCAAAATCAATAAATGTATTTTTGCCGACCAAAGGTTCGATACTTTTTGAACAGCCCTCGTATTTTGTTCAGGGCATCATTAAATCTTGCATCAATAAACGGACTATTGCTAAAATTTTGCAAACTACTGTACATGTATACAGTACGTGAGGTTTGATCCACGATACGGTCAGCATCCGGATGGCCGAGCATTCAAGGTGGCAGCCTACCGCTCTGGGGAACCAGGGATCGGATCCGGACGGGTCGAAAAATCCCCAGGAATTTTTCGGGGGGTGGTCCGTTCGGATATGTCGGGTCCCGTCCCTCACCACCCGGCAGTCCCATTGTGGGCCTGGCCGAACCGATAATGGGCTTGCAAAAAGAGGTCTATATATATAATTATTAAAAATAAAATTGATCTTGATTTTAATTTATACATATTTATTATCCTAATTCTCTAAATTAGCATTATATTTGATTCGTCATCTGAATAGCTTATGAGTTCATGGACACGTGTTCGAGTTGTCTGTAGTATTCTCGTAAAATTTTCAGCTGTGATTTGTCCTTGTTATGTCAGGTTCCGTTTTATTATTATAAATTGGCTGAATTCGTAATGACCATAAGTAAAAGTCCTTTTGGTGCCATAGGACAGAAATACTGTATTATACGAGGGCTGTTCAAAAAGTATCGGACCTTTATTTTTTCCACGTAAACCAATGATGCGCGGGAGGCCTCTTTAGGTGTAGTTGTGGAAGAGACAGTCATGCACAGTCCTGAATTTTTTCCCGCCTGCAGGAAGCGTCAGTCGCTGGCAGTCAGCCTATGAGTGAGAACGTGTAGTGAGCGCTCGTCGGATTCCACTAAGTTGGAAAATGACTGAACAACGTGAGCAGCAATATTGCATCAAATTTTGCCAAAAACCTTGGCGATACCCAAGCGGAAACCATTCGCAAGATTCAGCAGGCTTTCGGAGACGATCCTCGAGGCCACAAAAAAGCGCAGCAGATCCGCAGCAATATCAAGGTCATGTTGACAGTTTTTTCGACTCCCGGGGGTGGTGTATCGTGAGTACGCACCACAAGGCCAAACCATCGCAAAGGAGTACTACCAGGAGATCCTTCGTCGTCATTGTGATGCTGTGCGACGCAAACGACCGGATCTGTGGTCGACCAAAGCTTGGCAGTTCCATCGTGATAACGCACCCTCCCATTCTGCGCATCTAATTCAGACTTTCGTCGCGCAAACACAACATTCCTATGGTTCGTTACGCTCCGTACTCTCCCGACATGGCTCCGTGTGACTTTTGGCTATTTCCCAAGCTGAAAATGCCACTAAAAGGAGCCCGATTTGAGTCGAGAGAAGACATCGTGCGGAATGCGACGGACCGGCTGATGGCCATTCTAAAAACTGCGTTCCAGCAGTGTTTCCAGCAATGGCAGGAGCGCTGGGAGAAGTGTATACACTACCAAGGAAACTACTTTGAAGGAGATTTAAGGTTTTGTACCTCAAAATCAATAAATGTATTTTTGCCGACCAAAGGTTCGATACTTTTTGAACAGCCCTCGTATTTTGTTCAGGGCATCATTAAATCTTGCATCAATAAACGGACTATTGCTAAAATTTTGCAAACTACTGTACATGTATACAGTACGTGAGGTTTGATCCACGATACGGTCAGCATCCGGATGGCCGAGCATTCAAGGTGGCAGCCTACCGCTCTGGGGAACCCGGGATCGGATCCGGACGGGTCGAAAAATCCCCAGGAATTTTTCGGGGGGTGGTCCGTTCGGATATGTCGGGTCCCGTCCCTCACCACCCGGCAGTCCCATTGTGGGCCAGGCCGAACCGATAATGGGCTTGCAAAAAGAGGCCCTCTTAATGCCCACAGGACGAAAAGAGTTAACTCCTTCCGCCCTGTGGGCACTAAGAGGGCCATTTATGCAAGCCCATTATGGGCTCGGCTAGACCCACAATGGTGCGGCCGGGTGGTGAGGGACAGGGCCTGACATATCCGGACCCGGCGGACAGATCGCTCCGCGAATTATTCCTGGGGATAATTCCTAGAGCGATAGGCGACCATCTTGACCGCTCGGCCATCTGGTCGAGCGGTCAAGATGTATTACGTTTAATTAGATTACCTGTTTAAATTCAATTAGATTATATTCAATTAGATTCATTGTATTAGGTTCAATTAGATTACCTAGATTATCAGGTACTCTAATATGTTCAATTACTGATAAAATTTACACAATAAAATTTAAAATATTAATGATACCGATTTTAATATTTATCGTTTTAAATATTTTAAAAATTAATTCATATTAATTATTTATGCACTATCCGATTTAATACTTATATTAAATCAAGTTCATGTAAGATATATAAAATATTCATGCATTATAAATAAAATATCGATACCGTATAAAATATATAGTATTAATATTAATTTTAATTACAGATTTAATTTAAAATTTATATTTTTGAAAATATCACGCTTTTAATCTGTGTTCGTAGATACACTTATAAAATAAATACACTCAACCACGTGATTCGCAACCGGGACTGTCTCTTTAAAATATATGTATTGTTGTCGTCTGCTTATTTGTCAGATTAATTACAATAAAATTAAGTAGACAAATGTTTCCATACAAATTTGATGTAAACAAAAATCTCAAATCAAGCAATGGAAGATCTCAGTTAACAGAAACGTGATGTAATTAATAATTTTTTCCCCATAAATATTATACATTGCTTCATATTTGATCATTTCACAGCGGTTTGGTAAGTTAATACTTCACCTCCATTTTGAATTTTATGAATAATAATAGAGCCTAGTTATTTTGTTTAATTAAATAATTAGCAATTAATAAAATGCAATATGTTTATTAATATTAATTATTATATTATACTGTACTTTTATTCATTTTACAAACTTGCTTGTATTTATTACATATTTAAATATAAATATTATGTGTAGAAGCATTATTCACATGTATGTAATTTTTTACAAAACATAGGCTATAAACAGTATATATATGTAAATACAATATTATAAATACATGCATATAGATACATACACAGGAAATATATCTATTTATAATCAAAGCAGTGTTTATTGCATTTAACTAAATACATTGAAATTCATGGTCATTGATGTAATCAGATAAAAATTTATTTTTACTTCGGTGATGATTACAGATTGAAGAGTGTGCTGCTTGTTGTTTAAAGTAGGTTTGCTAATTACCGTATTTACTTGCATATAAGACAAGGTTTTTATTTATTTTTTCACTGCTTTAAAAACCTAGGTTGTCCTATATGCACCAGTGAAAGATTCTGTGTTTTTGCAATAATTTTTGTGAACTGTGTATTTGCATTTTTTACTGGATGCTCACTCTCTGGTGTTTAAATACAAAAGTATTTTATCAGGGTCATTTGAATCATTCTTGTATATTGTTAAGAGTAAAGATGAATAGCAGTAGGAAAAACAAAGCTTTTGAATTGAATTCCAGATTGAAATTCCAAAATCACACGGGAGCCCAATATAAATTTTAATCCATTCCCATGTGAAAACAGATGATTATCCAGAAATCATAATTCGAAGAAACTCATAAAGTGTAATCAACAGAGAGTGGATTCAACTGTTAAGAATTGGCACAAAAGGTTCCCTATTGTCCAGTCCAGCTTTACATGAACAAATTATGATGTCGATTTTACAAGATTTTTTTCTTAAACTTTAAAATGCCAGTAATTTTTGCAGAGCAATGTGTGCATTCACATGCTTTTAATATTTTATTTGTGATTAAACAAAATAAAATCAGAATTGCATTAATAAATCTAATTCTTTACTTTGATCTTTAAAGTCACACCTTGTCCTATATGCAAGATTGTCTTATAAGCAAGTAACTACGGTATTTGATTTTAAATGTTGACTTAAGTCTGCATGTCAGAAAATATAAAGTGCATTATTAATGATAGCAATTTGTGCCTTTCTTATGTTTAGCACTTAATTATGTATGATATTAAATATATTTCTTATATTTAAAAGAATATAAAATTTTATTTATCTTTGGTTAAGCTTTCATTTAACCATAGAATNTTTAAAAAAATCCTTAACTTTCCCAGCAACATTTGGTAGTGCCATCTATTATAGTATCTTATTTAAAAAACTTTTTATATTTTTAATTATTATAGTATCAAAAAACTGAATTTTGAGGGTAGGGATGGGTTTTATAAAAAATTGTAAATGTGAATGAGTAAAATCATCATTAAGTCTAATCCCTCTTGAGGTATGACACAACTCCCTTTATCTCCCCACCTCCTTGACCTTTAACCACCAAAATTTAATGGCATTAATTCCGCTAATACTCAAACCTCACTGCAACATTTCAGAAATTTTTGACAAAAAGCACGGGAGTTACTAAGCTTCAAAGAAGGTGAACAAAATTGTGCCTCCCCAGACACATACAGGAAAAAACCCTAAATTTTTTTTTTGTAATTCTCAATATTTCAATGTGTCCTGAGTCCAAAAATGTAAAAATCTTTGGGGATCATTTTTGGACCAATTGCCATACTCTCCCTGTGTTATATATAACAGAGCTGGAAAAGTAATAAGAATCAATGCAACTTGTGTATGTATGATTTTCAACTTAATTTTTATTTAATATAATTCCTATAGTTGTTTAAACTGTAAGTAAATATATGTTATAGTTGTTTAAACAGTTTTAATTATCATATTAATTTAAAACTGTGTAATATTTAGTTATTTTAAAAATGTTTGCATCCATATCATAAAAGTTACTCATTTGTATAATTTGACTAAAATGTTTATTCTAGAGCAAAAAATAAATAAATAATTAAATTTATTCATGAAAGTTGATCATTTTGATCAAAATATTATATTAAGTATGATCTAAAATTTTTTAAAATTATGCTTAATGCATTTTCAAATGATATAATTTTCAAAAAATTTTAAATATTTGTTGAATTCTGATATTCAGATAATTTAGTTCTTAGTGTGTAAATTCAATTGCAGTGTTCAAGGTTAGTTTATACCTACCCATATGTAATGGGTTTTGCATTTTACTGTAACTGGACCATTTCTCGTAATTGTTAATTTAATACTGTATAACGGTCTTGTCAACTTTTGTAATTTTGGTTATTAATAATTTCCAATGCAGCGCTCTGAGGTCCTAATAACTTTTTTCAGCGTTACTTTTCTCCTTTTCCTTTATACTTATCCCTTCAGAACCCTTCCTTCAACCTTTTCTTCACTCCCTTCTCTTTGTAGTGGGCTAAGTTTGCAAAAGCAGACAGCCCTTCCTCCTCCTTTATTATTATTATTATTATTCAATTGATATAATATAACCTGCAGGGCCATGTTCAATAATGCAGAATGCTAAGTAAGAAAACTAATTGGCTAAACTAAGAAGTTGGCTGAGCTAAGAAGTGTTCTGAGAATCCTTGAATGGTATGCTGAGTTAGCAAGTTAGTTTTGGCTTTTTTGTGCTCTATGAGCAGTAAAAGGCTAAAACCACAAAACAAAATTTAAAAAAAGTTAGTAAGTTAGACTTATTTTGTGTTAAATGGTAAATGATGTAAATTATTCACCATTTTACACACAATCATAAATCATAATTTTATTATTAAAATAAATTTTCATAATTATAACATTATGACTATTATAAAAAATACATTTATTCCAGCACAAGCAGCCATTTTACAAATTGTACTAAGAGACAAAAATAATGATATCGGTAGCAGAAGTTAGTATAGACAAAACAAGTTGACTGAACTTGTTAGAGTTCTAGCAGTGGTAGGAATCAAGTAATAGTTAGAAATGAGTTCAGCATTACAGCATAGCTAGACTTAGCAAGAATTCTGTGATACTGAATACAGCTCTCCCAGGTGTACTCCTCATGTGTATGCCCCACCTCAAGCTATCTACTGGCTGGGAGTGGTGGTGTGCTCATGTAATCCAGTTATTAGTGGATGATCATTTTGATCAAATAGTTTGATCATTTTGATCAAATTTGAGGTGGAGAATATAACTGCATGTTGTACTATGTCAATCATATGTTTGCATTAAGAATGACATTGATTTGGTCACTGAATGGGAAACCTAGGGCCATCCTGTTGCCTAAGGAAGAGTGAACTGACCCAAGGCACATCTAGTTCTTATTTATCACATCATCTTATCCATGAAATAAAATATTTAAGAATCTGTTATTGTGAAAGAAGATAGTAAGAATGTCAGTTTATTCCAAAATATTAGATGAATCTCTATTAGCCAATCCTGGTGCCACATCATGAAACTTAATTTACTGAATTTCCTATAAGAACTAATAATTCCAAAACGACAATTGCCTTATCAGACACCTGTACTTCATAAATTTCTGTTCAATAGTCATAGATGCAATTTGGCATCATTTTATCCCCTGTTCAGTATTAAATGTTTTCTAAAATATTTAATGTCTATTTTATATTGTTTGATTTTAAGTACTATGTCTTTCATTTTCTTTTTCTTAGATGATAACATAGGGAATCTGATGATTTTTCAAATGAAGAAAGTCTTGAAAAATATATTTACAATAGCCTCTTCTTTAGAATTCCATAATTTTGCAAAAATGAAAGTATACATGCAAGTGTAGTTTAGATTTTTGGGGTCCTATGCAAGAAGTTGACTGACCAGTCAAACAACTGACAATGATTGCTATGGAAACATGACTTAATCAGTTTAATTAGTTTTGTGGACTAAAGTGCAAACCAATCTTTAAGGCTGGTTTACACAATGAGATTATCACTGACATTTTGTTGCACTGAAAATATGTTTGAGGTTTGTTGGCAATTTAGATGTTTACACAATGTGCTGGAACATGACTTTTAAATTGTTTTAAGTTGTGAGCATGCACAAAAGCTTTTATGTAGTCATATAAAGTAAAAAAGCCTTTACATATATTCAGTTTTTAAACAACAATGTTACTGGAGCTCTTGAAAGAATGGAAAGGGACTCCCAATCACTTGCATGTTTCATGTGGAGAGATGTTAGAAGAGATTAGTCTAATGGATTGTAAAAATAAGACACTAGATGCAGTTGGCCTTTGAATCTTTCTAAACAAAATGCACAAAACACTCCTACCCACCTTGCAGTAGCATGAAGTCACTGACACTGACAGTAGGGAAGGCAGTAAAAGAGACCCAGATGGTAAAAATATGAATGAGAGAATTTCAGAGTATACAAAATTGCAAAATTGATTGTTGAAGATTTTAGCATAAAATAAGTCATCTAGGACATAGCTAGGGATAGGACAGGTCTTAGAGTTTACAGAACTGAAGGTCTCCATAATTGTAGGGCTCTGTGCATTACAGTGATGAATTATTAAATATGATCACTGCATATATTATAGAATACAGCACATTTTTTACAAATTACAAGCATGTTCTATTTTCTCTATTCTCATAGTGCGTTCTGGATTTATTTTGATGAAATTCAATATGAAGATTAAAGACAACTTGCAGTTTGATATATTTTTAATTAAAAGAATAGCTTCATTAACATAAATAATAAATATATTATTGTATGAAATTCAGATTAAGATAAACACAGTGAAATAGATAATAATATTTAGGAATGATAATAAATATGGTAAAATAGATAAGTATCTAAGTAAAATTTAACATATGATACATATCATATGTTAAATTTTTTTAAAAAATCCTTAACTTTCCCAGCAACATTTGGTAGTGCCATCTATTATAGTATCTTATTTAAAAAACTTTTTATATTTTTAATTATTATAGTATCAAAAAACTGAATTTTGAGGGTAGGGATGGGTTTTATAAAAAATTGTAAATGTGAATGAGTAAAATCATCATTAAGTCTAATCCCTCTTGAGGTATGACACAACTCCCTTTATCTCCCCACCTCCTTGACCTTTAACCACCAAAATTTAATGGCATTAATTCCGCTAATACTCAAACCTCACTGCAACATTTCAGAAATTTTTGACAAAAAGCACGGGAGTTACTAAGCTTCAAAGAAGGTGAACAAAATTGTGCCTCCCCAGACACATACAGGAAAAAACCCTAAATTTTTTTTTTGTAATTCTCAATATTTCAATGTGTCCTGAGTCCAAAAATGTAAAAATCTTTGGGGATCATTTTTGGACCAATTGCCATACTCTCCCTGTGTTATATATAACAGAGCTGGAAAAGTAATAAGAATCAATGCAACTTGTGTATGTATGATTTTCAACTTAATTTTTATTTAATATAATTCCTATAGTTGTTTAAACTGTAAGTAAATATATGTTATAGTTGTTTAAACAGTTTTAATTATCATATTAATTTAAAACTGTGTAATATTTAGTTATTTTAAAAATGTTTGCTTGTTTATTAATCGTTTACAAGTTTTTTTTTTTTTTTGTAGTAATTAATAAATATTTGGAGTATTATTTTTTTTATACAGAATGGACTAAGTTTGAAATTTTTCATCTAATCAATCATATAGAATATAATACAAAATTTGTTTATAATTTTATCATGTTTTAATTTAATCAAATATGAATACAGACAAAACATTTTTTTAATTTTTCAATATTCATTTATATTTATACTTGATTAAAAAATCTTACTTATATGTCGAAATTTTATTATTACTCAGAGTTATTTTTTGAATTTTAATAAATTAAATATATGTGCATAGTAGAATTTTTATTATGAAGATGTATATGACAGCATTTAAAACATTTTTATATTTTATTACAGGTTCTCCTCTAAAAAAATTATGACTGTCAATTGGAACTGGTTATGTGGTCCGCATTTTGCCATTTGGGATGGACATATTTTTGGTCGTTGTTTCCGACAAATGACCATAATTTTTCCTGCATATGCTCTTTTTTTAATTGTTTGTACATATTATATTGGAAAAAGAAATGGTTGTTATTTAAGAATATATCATCAACTTTGGGTTATAAACTGTAGGATATTTCTTTCAGTTTTACTTATAATATGCTGTGTTGTAAGATTTTCAATTCGTTACATGATTGCACATGTGCAATTAAGAGGAATGGACTATTTACAAGTTTTTATAATAATAATTGCTTGGATTGTACATATTTTATACTTACATATCTTGAAGACAAGATTAACTCCTCATTCAAGAGGTCCATTAATAGTAATAATATGTTGGATTTTAACTTTAGCAGTCACAGTTTTAGATTTACGAGCAAGTGTTATGACTAGCACTGACACGTTAGAAGTTTTAACTGAAAGATACAGTATAGGTTCTAGTACTGGATTACAAATACTGTATGGTCTAACTTTACTATTTTCTAATACTGTAGAATCCTCAGCATATGAAGAATTTTCTAGAATTGCACATGAAACTGAACCTCTTCTTTCTGGAAATATTGTACGATATGATAGTTTTCAAGAGGCTAGAGATCCTCACTCACTTGGTATTGCAGCTGAAAATTCTAGTATTATATCAAAGTTAACTTTATTTTGGATTAATAAAATGATGTCAAAAGGAGCTAAAAATCTTTTAAAAACTACTGATGATCTCTTTGATTTACCACATTCAATGAAAAGTAGTAATGTAGATGCTAAAATAACATCATTTCTGCAAAGAATATGTTTTAAGGAAGTGAATGATGAAACTTGTTCAACTACTTCATCTAATGACACTAAATTGTATAAACATAATCTTCTTAAAGCATTACATTATTGTTTTGCAACTGAATATTATTTTCTTGGGATATTAAAAATTGTTTCAGATGCCTTAAATTTCTGTGGACCATTACTACTAAATTATTTAGTTTCATATTTAGAAGAAAAAAATGAATCCATATCATTGGGATGTTATTATGCTGCTGGTCTATTTGGAGTAACACTACTAAATTCTTTTTGCAGTACTCATTTCAGTTATCTTATAAATTGTGTTGGTTTAAAAATTCGAGTATCACTGATTACTGCAGTTTATCGAAAAATATTAAATGTAAATAAATCTACTCTTTCTAAATTTAATAGTGGAGAGATTGTTAATTTTATGAATACAGATACTGATAGAGTTGTAAATTTTTGCCAAAGTTTTCATGAAGTTTGGAGTTTACCTTTACAAATAGCTATTGCTTTATTTTTACTATATAATCAAGTTGGAATTGCTTTTGTTTCTGGTGTAGTATTTGCTGTATTATTAGTGCCAATAAATCAAAAAATTGCCAGTAAAATTGGGAAATTAAGTGAACTTATGATGGAGAAAAAGGATGAAAGAATAGTAGTAAGTAGAATATGTAAATATTGTATAGAAAAATTTGTTATAATGTATTTCTTTAGTAAATATTTTTATTATGAAATATAATTTAATCATTCTCTTACAATCTATACATGAAGATTTGAAATTAATATGAAAAAACATTTTGATACTATTGAGAAATGTTTTAATTTTTGTTCAAAAAATTAAAATATTTTCCAGTCAAATTGTCCTAAACAGAAAATAAATCTCAATGGAATGATTTACTATGTAAAATATTTTTATAAGCCAGAAACCTGTCTGAGAAGAAATGTAAACAAAAACTTTTTGGTTACCATGCATAACATAACTTCAGTAAAATGGAATATTTTGGCATTAGGTTACCTAGTTCTAAATCCTAGTTCTAAATTTGTGAGCTTGACTTTTCAGTAATATTTTTTTGTTAAGAGTATAGTTTGTTTTCAGAAACTAGCTGTAATAATGCAATACTGCTGTTTCTTTCTAACACTATGATTGCTGCACAAGAAAATATAAACCATACTAGATTGAAATTCCAACATTGTGTGTGTTATATATGACTTCATCATAAGTTTGTGTTTGAAGCCATATGATTATTTTGATTTACAGTTTAATACTGAAACAGATATTGATAGCTGATGGTGTGGGGGACAATTTCATATACAATATTTAGTGTCAAAATTTGAGCTCAATGTTGTTGATTACTAGTAAAAAATATATCATCATTTATTGGTATCTTAACATAATAAATTCACAACATACATTTTCAAAAAGTTTTCAAGAAAGAAAAAAGTAAAATTTATATGAAAAACTTTTATTCATATTTTTATTCATTTTACCATATAAAATACTATATAAATAAAATGTATAGTTGCAAATGTAAAAAGTTAAAAAATATAAAAACAAATTGGAAAATTTATACATTTTGACTAAGTATTTGCTCTTGCAATATGCTTGAGAAAAGAACATTCAATGCAAAAGTGCTGATTGCAATTGAGATATTTGAAGATTGGCTGTTTGTAGTAAGATTTTGCATAGTTTTGTCCATGTTTATTTTTTAGCCTCACTTGCAATATACTCTTCATCTGAATCATCAGCAAAAGAAATGCCAGCATCATCTTCACTCATATCTATTATGTCTACCATAAGGACTTTTTTCTAATCTTTTCATTTCTGATTCATAAGACATTTTTTATTATACTTTCTGCAACTTTTAACCACTCAACAGAGATGTAAATGATAACTTCTGTAACTCTGCACTTATCTGCAGTAATAGGAATAACCAACTTGAGTCTGAGATATAGAATGACTCATGCAGTGTAAAATCATGGCATTGCATGAGCTAGTAATGTTACACATAGATTAAAGTGTTATTTGAGCCAAATTTGCAAGTTTATTGCACTGATCATATGATCATATATATATTATATATATATATATATAATATATATGTGTGTGTGTATGTAATTATCAATATTAAGTGATAAACAGTTCTTGTTTCAAAGTTGAGAGAATATTTTATTTACAAAACATCAGCAAAAGTTATATTTATTTATTTAATCCATATCATAAAAGTTACTCATTTGTATAATTTGACTAAAATGTTTATTCTAGAGCAAAAAATAAATAATTAATTAAATTTATTCATGAAAGTTGATCATTTTGATCAAAATATTATATTAAGTATGATCTAAAATTTTTTAAAATTATGCTTAATGCATTTTCAAATGATATAATTTTCAAAAAATTTTAAATATTTGTTGAATTCTGATATTCAGATAATTTAGTTCTNTTAAAGAGTAAGACTTGATTTTTGCTGAAAATTGAAAATAATAGTTATTAAAAATGAAATAAAATTGACATTTTTATGTATTTGTAAATAAATATCAAAGTAAATGAAATGCAGAAAATAAAACACCTTAATGTTATGTAAATGAAATGTTTCATTGCTTAGCTAACATAGAGAAGAACGAGCAATTAGTAATATTTCTGGTGAATTATTAGTACAGTAGAGCCTCGAAAACTCTGCACTCAATAACTCGGCAATCCGGATAACTCGGCCACACCCTGGCAGGGCAAAAAAGTCCTTAATTAATTAATTTTCATTATAGACAGCTTTATGCCTCATAAAGTATTTTTCTGAGGTCTGTCTTATCAGGTAAATTACTGTACACAGTGTATTCATTAATTTTCATTTTCATGTAGTAAAGGTTCCATGCCTTTGGAAAGGACGTACTTATCCTTTGTTTAAGGGTATTTGAGCAGTTTATTCTCTATTGTATTCTCAAGTAAACAATACATACAAGTACAGTACAGTATTTTCTGAGGAAACACTCATAATTATTTTTTAACCCCATTCCCGATAACCCGGCATTTTCACAAACTCTGCCACCCTTCGGTCCACATTAGGCCGAGTTTTCGAGACTCTACTGTACCAGCCAAAATTCAGTACTATATTATTGACATGTTGTAACAAAAATTAATTTCCAAGAATTATTTTATTAGATGAAAATTGAAAAGTTTTGTTAGTCCAACTTGATGAGAGTTAAATTGGACTATCAAGTACTATATTATTTCCTACAATAGGGCAGTTAAAACATTTCACGGGTACTTGATTATTATACAAGTGTAATCGACTTGTTCATAAAGTATATCTAATATTTACATATAAATCATACAAATTTTAATTGCTGTATTTTCAAATTTCTCTTTCTCATTGGTGCTGATAAATAAAAACCAGTAATGTGAGATTTGAGTTAAAAGATCTTTTTTCTTGAGATTTGAGTTTTTAACAGATTTATGTTCTTAAATTTGATAAGAGGATTTTTTAAAACACATCTTAGATAGATCATAATTTTTTGTACTTCACATTATTCTAATGGAATCAACTATGCATTCTTGTTGATGGATAAATTTGAATTAATAATTACATGATGAAGAACATTCAGATTAAATTTGGCCAGTGGAAAGATGAGAATAAACTATACATTAGTTTGCATATTATTAGCATGCATTATTTTAGTACCCAGTGTACAGGCTGTTATGGAGAAGGTTGGTATTCAAAAGGCTTAAATATCTTGAAAAGTTTAGGATGAATAAATTCATAGTTTTTTAAGTAAATTGATTGTTCTATTTTAATGCATAACTTAAGTTGTAAAATAAAGAAAGATTAAATGATTGAGAGAAAAATGAATTTGCTATGCCATTTTTTATCATTGTAGCAGAAGTCCTAGAATAACCACTAAATATTTAAATTTCCAGATGACATAATTAATTAATATTTAAAAAAAATAGTGAAATTCTCTTTGGATTCAAATATATTTTTTCTTTTTAAAATTTAGATAGGTTAAATGATTCAATTTACATTTCATACAGACACAGATACAAGTTACATATACAATATTTAGTGTCAAAATTTGAGCTCAATGTTGTTGATTACTAGTAAAAAATATATCATCATTTATTGGTATCTTAACATAATAAATTCACAACATACATTTTCAAAAAGTTTTCAAGAAAGAAAAAAGTAAAATTTATATGAAAAACTTTTATTCATATTTTTATTCATTTTACCATATAAAATACTATATAAATAAAATGTATAGTTGCAAATGTAAAAAGTTAAAAAATATAAAAACAAATTGGAAAATTTATACATTTTGACTAAGTATTTGCTCTTGCAATATGCTTGAGAAAAGAACATTCAATGCAAAAGTGCTGATTGCAATTGAGATATTTGAAGTTTGGCTGTTTGTAGTAAGATTTTGCATAGTTTTGTCCATGTTTATTTTTTAGCCTCACTTGCAATATACTCTTCATCTGAATCATCAGCAAAAGAAATGCCAGCATCATCTTCACTCATATCTATTATGTCTANTATAATACTTTTTATTTTAGTTTATGAAAGAATTACTGACTGGAATTCGTGTTATAAAAATGCATTATTGGGAAGATGTATTTGCATCTAAAATTACAAAGTTTAGAAAAGAAGAACTAAAATATCTTAAGAAAAGAAAATATCTAGATGCATTCTGTGTGTATTTTTGGGTTATTACACCTCTTGTAATTGCTGTTTTAACATTCATGACTTATGTTCTTCAAGGAAAAACTTTGACAGCAGCCAAAGTTAGTTATTTTCAATAATCTTAATCTAACTCTCTATAATTATTTACAATTTATAAATTATATGTACAGTAAATCCTGTTCAATTCCTGGAAAAAATTCTTCAGAATGCAGTGATTTTTCAAAAAAAAAAACCTTTTCAAAACAAAACCCTGCCAAACCAGAAAAAATATTTGGTATCATGCAAGTTTGATTTACTCAGGCTTTACTGTAATATTTCTTTTGTTTTTTTACATCATTTTATTTTTAGTAAATATTTATTTTATATTCATGTCTTTAAAACATTATTAGAGAAAAATTATTTGGTACTTATGGGTTAAGAGGACGCCAGTCGGAATTAGCGTTTTTTCAGAATAATGCAATTTTTTGTTTGTCAAATTTAATAAAATTGTTAAATCAAACAATAAATTATGATTGTAAAATTTTGTTATATCTTTATAAAACTATAATAATAAACCACTTGAATATGCAAATTGTTTTGTAGTGTATATGACAAATAGGTGATATCTATCATTCTAATTGATTTTTTTTCATTTTTACAACCTTATCAGTAAATTTTCTTCTTTTTAGATTTAAATTTACTAGTCTATTGTTACTTTGATATTTTCATTCAAAATCGCGACTTTGATCGCTATTTCCGACTGGCGTTTTCTTAACCCATAAGTACCAATTATTTTTTCTCATTTAATAGAAATTAATTATATGGTAATAATTGCTTAAAATTAAGCATGACCAAATTTTTTGTGGGCCACATTCTGATTACAAAAAAGGAGAGACTAAATACAAAAGAATATGTGAACACTCAATTTTAAGTTTATGACCTATCTAAATGACACATAACATTGTATATTAAGTTAAAGAACTAAGAATAAAATTTTTTAAAAGTTTATATGCTTATATATGTTTTATAAACTGTGAAACTGAATGTTTAATATTTATAATTACAGTATATTATATTCATTACATTTTTAGATAAAAATTTATATTTTACTTCCTGCTACAGTTGGATTTAGTAGATTTACTGATCTTGTACATACTAAATTATATTTCTGATGCAAGAGTAAATGTAAAATTATCAAAGCAGATGAAAACATAATATTGAGAAGTAATATTCTGCAGTGCTTTTTGAATTTATGTATGAAAATATCATTTTCTCAATTGCCAAACAGTTTCTAATTTTCATGCATAAATGAGGTTTTATTGCAGGAATGCAGGAATTATAGGAATATTACTCTTATACAGAAGAAAGAAAAAAGAATTTTGGAGAAATTATATTTATTTTATTGTGTGATAATTCTAATTTATATGAACTAATCTTGCTAAAATTAAATTTAACTTAATTTAATGATGGATAATACAAAACAATTTTATTTATAAGCCATTAATTTTTCAATGTTTCCATACTTTTAGTAGCCATTTTTAGTGTCCATTAAATTTGTTATGAATGAAGAAACATTTGGCATAAAATATTTGTAACTATTTAATAACTTTCTATAGAAAACAGTAGCTTCAAAATAAAAGTCTAAAACTATATGAATATATAGCAAATAATGATATAACTGTTAAAATCTAGTAGCATAATGCTTAACTATATGTAATGAGGCCAAATAAATTTGCATTTAATATACAGCATTTATGTCTATACTTACTGTATATTTCCTGATAATTTCCTGACACTTTGAGAGACTTCACCGCCAATCCGTACTTTTATAAAAATTTTAAACAGTTCAATCAAAACATATTAAGATTGTTCAGTGTGCTTAAAAATTTTTTATTTGTGCCAGATCTAGTTTGCAGGAATTATAGGAATATATTTCATAACAGTGACATGCCATGACATTTGATGATAGGGAAGCTGTGTTTCCATAAAAATTTTAAGCAAATACTAGAAGTGACAAAAATAAACAGCTTATTTAAATTCTAAAATAGATAACTGACATGAAACAAAAGATATAAGATTATTATTTTTTATAAAATAACTCTATTTGGCAATTTTTTCTACAAAGTTGTTAACTACTTTATCATAAAAATTGCTTCTTGTCGTTGAAAATTGCTCGTTGTTCCATCAAATTATTTAATGAAACAGAAAATAGATGAATATTGTTGACTGTTTACAGATAATTAGAAATACTTACTGATATTGATATGTTTGTCATATCAGAATTGGTTAAATTTACAAACTGTATTTCAATCTCTTGTTTTTCCTTTGTTTTGATAGTCACTATTGAAAAAAAGATTGAAACATTATTTTGTAAAATGAGCCAATTCAATATATTAGGAACATTCTGATACGCCAATAATAGTATCAGTTCAATATTAGTTACACCTATACAGGTATCTATCTGTTCATATATAAAAATATTGAAGAGCTGATTTCATTTACTGTATATTCAATAATAAATTGAAGTTCAGCTTTACTCAAAGGATTATTTTTTTGGAAAATTATGATTTTAAATACATTTTTATTTTTAATTTTAGGTATTTACTTGTCTTGCTTTATTCAACATTCTTATTTTACCACTAAATGCATTTCCTTGGGTTTTGAATGGACTTATGGAAGCTTGGATATCTTTAACTCGACTTGAAAAATTTATGGGCACCTCAAGTTTTGATTCAGAAAATTATTATTCTTCTATAAAAGGTAATTCATTATTATTTTTGTAAATCTGTGTTTCAATTTTCTGTCAAATGAAACAATTCAAAAACTTTTCATTGAATAAAAGAAATATTTATTAATAAAAAGTTTATTAATTGATTTGATATACATGAAGATAAATTTCATTTGATTTGTTAAGATTACTCTGAAAGACAATACAAATAAAAAATTTTATTATATTTTCTTTGTTGTCTTATTATATACAAAATAGACAAATTCAAAACAATGTGATGCAACCTTTTATTATAAATTATAACATCATTTTAAATTACATGAAAAGAAATAAAAATCCTCTAAAAATCAAAAGATGCAAATAAATTTTTAAGTTTATATTGTCTTCAATTTTAATTTTATTAAAATAATTATATTTGAATTTCTTATATGTATTTTATTTTTTTTTAAAATTAAGTACTTTTAAGATTCTTATCATCTGAGAACTTTATATTATCTTTATGTATTTTAAATGTATTCTACTGTGATGTTCGAAACGATGTATACAGTAGAGCCTCGATTATCCGACCCAATTGGGGACTGGGGTTGGTCGGATAATTGAAAAGTCGGATAACCGAAAAGTATGAAAAAATCCATTATTAGTGTAGTATATTATTATATCCCATGTAATTAGTATATTAGTATATCGCTATTAACCTACTTCGCGNTTTTTTTTAAAATAATAATCGTTGCTATTGTATCGTTAAAAATTATTTTATTGCTCACAAAACAAACAACCACTCATAATTATAAAATTAAGCCTCATTTAAATACTGGCCTCCCTCTCATGGTTGAGCCAGTGTTGCCAGCTAAAACACGCAAAAATTTAACAAAAATAATATTAAAGTAGCCAAGACATAGCCAAATACACTAGCGGACATTTGAAATTTGCTGACTAGAATGGTTGGTTAACCGAGGTGGTGGTTAATCGGGGGTCGGATAATCGAGGCTCTACTGTATATGGTTATGCAAACAGGAATACATAAAAGAAATTCAATACAGTAAAGTCTATAACACAAAACAATTTTATTCGCCTTGAATAAGTTCAAATAATAACAATCCCACTCACAGGCAGTAAATAAGCAAATACAACAATCAAATGTTCCTTTATATGATTGAACTGACCAATACGCGACAATATTAGCGCAAGGACTTATAACTATGACTTAACCTAAATATGAACTAAGAAGGAGAAAAAGAATAGATAGAAAAATTAGGAGAAGGGGAAGAAAGAAGCACCTGGGGATTTTTAGTGATGTGTCTCAGGTGGACCACCGTCAGTAGCGTAGCGTAGTGGGGGCGGAAAAATTTCACATTAAATAATAATAATATCTTGTAAGAATTTGAACCATTTTATTTCATTTTTGTGCACCTATGATTCGGACCGATTGAAATGAACACGGAATACCATCCGGACAGATCGGACATCCAGACAGGCGGAATTGACTTGCCGTCTGAGGATATCGTGCGCGACCCGTTGAACTTTTTTTTTTTTTTTTTTTTTTTCNCCAATTTCAATTTTTTAAACGTTTTCAGTTGTTCTAAATACCCTTCTTCAGGATAAACTGCAATTTAAAAATAAGAATGAAAGATGTCCTTTGGAACAATTTGCATTTCAAAATTTTAGCCTTCCAGATGCTGTCCTTGTGTTCTTTAATCCTTGATGTTAATGACCAATGTAGTATGGCTCACTAATCCTACTGTCCTTCAGTGGTATTTCCTGGAATGCACATTAGATACGACGAGCTCTTTATATAGTGGGGTATCTTTTGTAGGTAATTTTCTTCCCCATAGCTGCTGCTATCTTTTTGTATATATATATATATATATATACACACACCTCCAATATCCAATACAGCTAGGTCACTTGCGTTACTCCTATCCAAGTCTCCCTAGTCGCTAACTGTAACTGATTTAGAACCAGCATGCACAGCACATTATTCTACGCATTGCAAAATGACATACGCATGCATCAGGAACTTCTATTCAAACAAACCTCACCTGCCGTCCGGGTCAGCGATTTTAATAAGGTGGCAACACTAGCACAGAATTTTTCATTACTTATTCTGTGACAAAACTGAATTTTAGTCTTTTAAATTGAGATACCTAAATAAGGGGAGGGCAAAATTTTCCTTCGCCCCGGGCGGCTGACACCCACGCTATGCCACTGGCCACCATTAACCGATACTCAGTTAATTCCAGCACTTATCTGTATTGTTCTTCTCTACTGTACCAGTCCACCTTCCTTTGAAGTTTTCTTACAATTTCTTCACTCCAGATTCCTTGATGAGAAAACATTAGCTTTTGGAAAAATCTCTGAACTTCACTCTTTATATTACAATTCAGGAGCACTACGAAAGCTGACTCAACTCAATCTGATTAGGTTCTCTAGCTCTTTTCATAAGTCTTAATTGACTCTGATCTCTCTACCTGTAACCAAGAGCATAACTCTATATTGCTTTCTCTTGTGCTGAGATCTCGACCAAAACTAAGTTTTTTCACTCTTTTGAACCCCCTGGGTTTCATTACCTCCTTTGTCTTACCACATCTGTTCTGAGAATCGGTGATCTCACCTGAGGAGAAAGAGATTAAGAAAGAAAGTTCTAGAATAGTGAAGACAAAGAACAAAGAAAACATTAAGCCTAAAATATAAAATATATACAAAAACTATACATTAAAATGGCTGATGGCCACACTACTGTGCATACAAAAAAAAATGTGTGTACAAATTTAAAAAGTTTTTAAATTTTGAATTCATTATTTTTTTTTAAAATAATAATTATATTTTATTTTCTTTCTATGCCTTCTGTTTTGTTTTTATATTGTCTATATCTTTCTTTAAGGTTATTTTAACTGTTATATTGTTATTATGTTAATAGTTTAATTACATTAAATGTAATACTGAGTTAATAGTAGTTAAAATAATATAATGAAATTAATGAAGTTTATTTTTACCAGCAACACTTTTAATTATCAAAATCAAACATTTCCAGCTGTTTTTTTTAGCCATCATTATGATATTAGAACATTCTGTTCAATTATCAATAATGGACTAGAATGTTCCATTATTGATAATGAAATAGATGACCACAAGAACAGCTGAAAATGATTGATTTCAATAATTAAAAGTGTTGTTGGTGAAGGTTCATCCCATATAATCTAAGAATAATTTTGTAAAGTTTATCACCTAGAACTGAATAAAATTCCAAATTATATTTGATAAACATAAAAAATAAGGATATAATTTAATCCTACTTTTATTTCATTATTTACACTATAAATGAAAGTCACTGATTCCTCAACTAATGCTCAACTACTCAAATTTAGAATAGTAACAAGATGACAGTGATGATTTGGTATTCCTAATCTTGTCTAAGCATATAGTTTAACTACTTAGAATTTAATTTTTTAATACTGTATAAATATATCAATTATTTTTTTTAAACTAATGAAATTATTAAATCTTATTACATTGAATACATAGAGAGATTAATCAGGCTCATACTCTTTCTCTTTTTATAACAAATTAATCAAAAAGACAAAATCAATTTATAAGAAAAAAATTTTAATTTCAAAAAGATATATATTATTTAACTAAATCATGTCTTAGTAATATTTACACTAGCTTATCTTATCATATTTTACTCATAATTTTGTTATTTTTTGGTATTTGTTGTTAATGTTCTAAAAGAAAACTTATTCTAGTTTGTTTTGTTTTAATATGCTATATTGTAAAATTTGCTATTTCAGGATGGGCTAATTTCTTATTTTAAAAAATAATTTGTATATTTATAATACATTAAAAATTTTTAGATTTTGACACCTGCTGGCATGTTTGATATTAAGATATTAATATAACAATAAAAATTTTACAGATATACAAAAAAAATTTACTTTAATGTAAATAAATAAATTAATTGTAAGTTGAAAAATTGTTTTTAAACTTGATAAAAAGTTAAATTTTAAATTTTTTCTTAAATTTATTTAAATTTAATTTATATATTTAATGTCCGTAATCCTGGTGTTGCCTTCTTTGCATTTTTGTTTGATGAGCCTTGCCATATCTAGTTTTTGTTGATTTGTTTTATTTTATGAAACCGTACCCTTTTCTGTATTTTTGAATTATTAAACACTAATTTTATAGTGTATTTTGAAGACCTATATTTAATTAAAATATATTATATTTAATGTTTTTAAATGCATCATGATTCTATATTTTAAGGATTTTTCAGATCCAATGAATAGAATAGAAGTGTGTGAAGGAAACTTTGCATGGGTTCCAAAATCTTCAAATATGCCAATCCAGGTTAGAAGTGAAAGTCTTCAAGATTTGACAGTGCATTCCAGTGAAATCAGTTCATTTAAATTAGAATCTATTAATTTTAATGCTAGAAAGGTATTTATTTTATAATCAATGTTAGATGTTTTTACAAAATGTTAAAAAATGATAGTATTGTCTTTTAACAATATATAGCAAATCTTTTATTAATATATTAGAGGTCATTAACCCAGCACCTATAGGACCAGAGTGATGCCAGATTATTGAAAATGCTAGAATACCAGACATTTCTATTGTATCTTTGCAAAATTCAACAGGCTACATTCAATCTGAATATTGCAGACATTGCTGTATATTTTGTACTAGAGAAAACTGTTGTGTGCTTCTAATTGTTTATGCATGCTCTTTAATCAGTCTGAAGATGATGCACTGTGTTAAGACTGACTGAAAAAATGTTAATGACCATATTATTGTACAAAATCAAAATTTACAATAATTCATATGTATTAATTTTCTAGATGTGTACTATATACATACATTTCACAAAAGTTATACATGCTCCAAGTTATGAGTAACCTGTCTTTAGGTATGCTGTTCTTGTATTGAACTGTGAGAATTAAATACATCAGTTATTTAAATTACTAAACACAAATTACATGTACTAACTCCAGCAAAACAATGTTTCAGTACAATACAATGTAGATGACCAAATTACACTGTATAGGAATTTGAAATCTTCCTTTACTATTCCTGAGTCATTGATAGAACTGCATCTATCAGGATTGGGTTGTAACTTTTTGGAAGCCTGGAAATTACCTAACAGGTGTTACAATGCCTTTTGCCTCTATGAAACATTGTTATATGACAAAGTTTGTTTTTGGACTCTCTCAAACATGTCTTTAATGTGCTAAAGACTTACTATACAAAACATGTTCGAATAAATTTTGATTTGTGAAGCAATAGAGCTTACTATGAAAAAAGAAGTAATGTTATATACATAAATTGTATGGGGTAATGACAGAAATTTTTCTCCAGCTGATTATTTCAAAAATGAATGGCGCATCTGATATGTCTCTGGTGACTTGGTCAATATGTTTGTTACTGATCTGAAATTTTTAAATTTGTCATTTAAATCCCTAAAACATTTTAAAATTTTTATAAAATCAGAAATGACTTTTTAAAACTGTTACTGAATGCATTAAAAAAGATTGGATTTTCTGATATCAAATGTTAAAAGATAAAATTGCTTTTAGTAAATTTGTTTGACTATTTTAGAAAATTTTTTAACTTATAAATTAAGAATTAAAAATACATTCAGTCTTTAGTTTTCATACTTCTACATCTATTATTGATTACATTTCATAAATAAATTAAATTTCTTTTAATCATTTTAAAATTTAATTTTTTTCCTAAATGTGAATGTTTTGTTAAAGGGTCAGTTGATTGGTGTTGTTGGAAGAGTTGGATCTGGAAAATCTACACTTATATCTTCAATTATTGGTGATGTGATTAAAACTGAAGGAACCATTGCTATAATGGAGGAAGATTGTCAGTATGGAATAGGTGTAGTATCACAAGAACCTTGGATACAACAAACTACAATTCAAAAGAACATTTTATTTGGAAAGTCATTTAATTTTAATAGATATAAGAACGTTTTAGAAGCTTGTGCTCTTGTAGATGATTTAAAGGTATGCAATATTTTTAAAATATAATGGAGTTATTAATATAAAAGCTTCTATTTTTGTCTAGTCCAGATGAAAATTTTGGTTATATTCTTTGTTTTGATGGAAAGTATAGACTATATTAAATATTAGATATTATTTTAATATGTTTTGTGCTAGAACATTTTTCCCAAAGACTTTTTTTTTCAATTTTGCCATTTTCCTGCATAATTAGTCCGTTATAGCAATTTTGTGCTCACATAGAAGACATATAATAATATAGTTTATAATTATAAATAATTTACTAAAGAAGTTTATTTAATTTTTTATTTTGTTATCACCTTTCAATTTAATAAATGAATGAAACAATTTTTTTAAAAATTTAAATAATATAGAATATCAAATAATTATAAATTTTATTGAAATATAATTTAAAATTTAAAGTTATATTTAAGCTTAGTTGTAATTTAATAAAAATTAAAAAAAAATTTTTGTTTTTCTGATTCTGATTATATATTAATTTATTTACATTAGATTTAATGTCAAAAAGTCACGCAGTTCAATTTATAGCAATATTTTTGCTTTTTTATGATTCCTTTTTTTTGTCATTTGTAATAATTTTACTAATATTTTAATTTTAGTGTCATTATATTAAACTTTATGAGTTAATTAACATAGATTTTTATTATAAAAAATGATTTTGTTTATGATTTTTTAAAAGTAATTTCTATTTATAAATGTATCAGTTTATATAGTTTATCTGATTTATTGTCAAATAGCTTTTCTTCTAAAGACAAATTTATTATTACTATCATTATATATCATATTTTTTCTATTAATTAAAACAAATATTGTTATGTAGAATAACTCTTATTTGAATTATGTGATGTAAAGTTGTTTTATTATGATATATAATATTATATGAGCACACAAATATATAAACACTAAAAATTCTGTATAGACATACTAACAAATAATAAAAATTAGAGTTTATCAACAGAATTTATTATTTTAAAAAATCATTTTATTGATTATTATAACTAACTTTTCAATAAATGAATAATAATTAAAACTATTTAAATATTAATTAATAAAAATTTTGTTCAAATTTGATTAAAGTTATAGAGCTTAAGTTTAAATAAATATTTATTGTAATTATAATGATATAATTTATAATACATAAATCGTATTTTCATAAATATATTGATACATACAGTTTGGTTTTACTTGTTAAATATAGTTTAGTTCAAAAGTGAAAACAACTAATAATTAATTCTGTTATAATGAAACATTTATCATGTATAACATAAAGCTCATACAAATCCCAAATGCCATTTAAACTGTTCAAAGTTTGTAATATACAAAATCATAAATAATTAAACATTATATTATCTATTTCAATTCATTATCTTTAATATAAATTTTAGAATTTGAATAATGTAATAATTTAATTATATCATAATAATCATAATAATTTAAGTAAGTATATTATAATTTTACAGAATAACTTATACATGACAATGAGAATTTTTACAGAATGACATGAGAATATTTCAGATTTTTTGAGATAAAGTAGATTTGAAGATAACCTTACAAAGAATAGAATTTAGAAAATTTAAAACAATAATTTTTAAGATAGTTGAAGTTCCACTATTTTAAAATGTAAAACATGTTAAAACTACAGTAGAACCTCGATTATCCTCCCTAATTGGGGACTGGGGTTGGTCGGATAATTGAAAAGTCGGATAACCGAAAAGTATGAAAAAATCCATTATTAGTGTAGTATATTATTATATCCCATGTAATTAGTATATTAGTATATCGCTATTAACCTATTTTGCGTTGAATTTTCATCGATGTTAAGCCTAACAAAAATTTTTTAAAATAATAATCGTCGCTATTGTATCATTAAAAATTAGAAAATTAAGCTTCGTTTAAATACTGGCTCCCTTTCATGGTCGAATGAGTGTTGCCAGCTAAAACACGTAAAAATAATATTAAGTAGCCAAGACATAGCCAAATATTGTAGCGCCACATCACTAGCAGACATTTGAAATTTGCCGACTAGGACGGTCGGTTAACCGAGGGGTCGGTTGATCAGGGGGCGGATAATCGAGGTTCTACTGTAGTTACTTTTTTTATTTGATTCTACTTTTTGTTTTTTGCTTTTTTATGGTTTTTAAAAATATAATTATTACATTTTTAGAACTATTATTATTTGGAACATTTTAAATATAAATGATAGCAATTCTACAATCTGAATGAAATCGTATATAATTTATTGAGATGTATTTTAAATACTTCATCATTTTATTTTTTATAAGCATTGTTAATATGTCAATTAAATAGTATTCTGTGAATTTGAAAAGCTTAAGCTTATAAATAAATTTTATTGTAATGATATAATTATAATGAATCCTGTTTTATATTCTACAGATTCTTAAAACTTTAAAGAAAAACTTTTTTTGAAAGTTTTAGAACAATGTTATTGCTTAATTATTAAAAATACATATTGTCATCTTATCAGTTAATTATAGTTAAATTATTAGTGTAATTAGGATTAATAGTCAGTAATAGGACAATTAATTAATATTGTTCGTGCTACATTAAGTTTGTAAAATGCACAAATTTAAAAATTATTTTACACAACATTATGTTAATTTACAATTTAGTTTAATTTTAAGTTTTAAAAATAGTGTTATAATTGTGTTAATTTAATTATTTTAGACATTTCCTGCTGAAGATGAAACAGAAATAGGAGATCGGGGAATCACACTTAGTGGAGGTCAAAAAGCAAGAATTGCTTTAGCAAGAGCTGTTTATCAGGTAGTATATACTTTTCAAATAAATAAATATATGTTATATAATCTTATATTAATACATCAAGTTTAGCCTAAAAGAAAGTAAAATTCTTTAATGATGAAATGATATTCATATAATTGTATTTACACTTTTATATTTATTATATTTGTATATGTGCTCTAAATAATATATATATATATATATATATGATTGACAGCCTCTGGGAAAATTTCGTAAAAGTTTAACATTGTTTGACTTTTATCCCAGAGTATCTGTCACATTTTTGAGGGAAAGACATTGAGCAGGGGCAAAAATGTGATGGTTACTGGGATAATTCCAATTCCATTCAACAGTTTCTCGGATAATTTGTATTCCAGAATCTCACGTACCCCAAAACCACACCATTTTTTGATGCCTCTTTGGATATATTTTTCTGCATGAATTGAGCAAGAGTTTCTGTGATACGGACTTAGAAAATTTTTGTGTCAGTTATTTAAATTTCAATAGTTCGTCAAGTCATTATTTCCAAGCGAATCATATTCTCCACGGCTCACAACACGACACAGAAAAGGCTATTGTCCCGTTTCCGAGATGTCCTGAGGGAACACAGAACTTTTCGAGAGATAGCAGCACCGAACCTGAGCCTTTCACTTTTTATGGTGACGAGGAGATTCTCGAGAGAGTTGCGTTCCCCCGACCGACGATTAGGACCAATTTCCATGACAACAGGGAACTGCATAAACGTCTACCCTCAAAGTCCCCGAGCGTGTCAATGTGAAACGAACCCACTCACAACAATGGCACCTATCTCATTTTGCACAAGAAATCAACGCCTCTTCTAAGGTAGAAAAAGTTCCTTTTNTTTTAGGTTTATTTTTAAATATGTATATATTAAAAAAAAGTACAAATATTTTAGAAAATATCATGAATTGTTTAAGTCACATATTTTAATAATGTTATTTAATTTAATAATTATCAAAGGATTTTTGTTTAATGATAATTCAAAGCTTTTTATCTTATTTAGTCAAATAGAAAATTATATATAATTTTAATATAATTAAAAAAATTAAAAAAATACTTTTATTAGTCATGTATTTTGAGATTGGGATAGAATTACCTCTCCATCTATATCATTACAGTTTATTTACACAAACACATTGTTATGAAATTCTATATTTGGTTATCTTTATCAGATTTTGGATGTGAAGGATGGTGGAGATAGGGCCACCACTAGAATATAATTAAAATACACTGACATTGGATAAAGTCTCACCTATCTATCTTAATTATAAGGAGATGAAATTTGAGTTGCCAAATTTGAGGACATGATACAAAGCATCTTAAATAAAAGCATTTAAAAAAATGAAACACTAAAAAACTGAACTGTATTTAGTTTAATATACAGTCTAACATCAGGCAGATAAGAATACAAATTTAATATTAAAAATAAGTAGAGATATAAACAATAATAATTATTTGTTTAGGCTAAACACTCTGTGTAAGGCCATTGTCTTTCATAAAAAAAAATAAATTATTTGTTTAGAAAGCAATTAAAGATTTAATATTTTGATAAATATTTTTAAAAATAAAATCTATTTTAGCTTTGCTAAAGTAGTAGTAATTTTTTTATAATACATTACTACTTTTAAAACATAATTTTTATTTTTATTTAAACAATTATAATTTTTTTTAAAAAATCAATATTTTAAAAAAGCTAATTAAAAGATTAAAAAACTTTAAAGGTTAGTACAGAAGACAACTGTGATTTTTTAGCTATAACCACATTTTATCAGAGACAAAACTATTAAGGATTACAACCATTAGCTTTTAAGAAGCTAATGGTTGTAATCATTAGTAGTTTTGTAATTTTTTTTAAAGGATTGATTTTTTAAAAATATGTAAAAAAAAATCACACCATAAATATATACAGGGTGCATAGGAAAGTCCCTTTAACCGGAAAATTCTTGCGAATGGAGAGACCTACAGCTATGCAAGTGAGGTAACGGTATAGTAAAGTTACTACATGTGATCTAATGCAAATGACAGCAGAGCCTGTAGCGAAATTTGGAAGATAGGCAGTGCAAATCAAAAATGAAAACAGATAGAACAAACTTTCCAATTAGAAAGTTTTAGCATCAATTAGTATGAAACGACATGTGGTTCACACAGACAAGATAAATTGTTGCCTGTATACCCAAAAATGTCCGAAAGCGATGCACACCATTTTGTGAAAACATTTGAAAGGAATAGCCATAGGTATGAAGAAATATGCACAATTTATTGCATAAAATACATACTTATGTCAATACAATTTGATAACATCACACAAAAAACAACGGAAAGGCAAACTGTCACACAGTGATAACAAGTTAATGTCGAGTATGTTTGAAAAGTTTGCCATTTGCTTACGATACATGCCATTGTTATCAAACTGTATTGACGTAAGTACATATTTTATGCAATAAATTGTGCGTATTTCTTCATACTTATGGCTATTCTTTTCAAACGTTTACACAAAATGGCATGCATCGCTTTTGGACATTTATTTACATTTATTTAACTTATTTACAAATTTCTAAAAGCCTGTTTTGAAATTGATAAACTATTTTAGTGACACATCTAGATTAAAATAATTTCTGTTCAAAGAAATATATTTATTATTGTCTCCTAATAAAGGAGTTGAAAAATTTTATATCTAATATTTTATTGATATTGATATCAAATCAAATCTTTTGTATTTTTTCAATAAATATTAATATTCTTAATTACAAAAGGCAATGCATATTGTGTAAATATTGATAGATAAAAAATATCATTATCGAATTAACAAAATAACATTGGATACATTGTTTCATACATGCCAAGAAATATAAATTATTTCTAAACAAATGCATTTAGAGTGTTTTCATAACTGAAGCATGCACATATTCATTTTTGAAGCTAATTGCTAGTTTATAGTACAAATCATACTTGTGAAAACTGGTATTCTATATGTGATTTTGAAAAATATATTATTTTTTCTTTTCTTATATTCGTCAATATTTTTCTTTCTTCATTTATCAACCATTGTATTTCTTTCTGTTAGGAAATAATTTTTCTATAATAATGCTAAACTTTTGGATTTTAGAATTTTAGATAAAGTTTCTCAATTTACATATGTATAGTATTTTTGATTTAACGTAATAAGCAGAATCTCATAACAGTGCTGTGCTAATGTAAAAAAATAAAAACAAATATTCAACTTGAAATAACACACTGAAAATAGAAATTTTTTTTTTATATGAATAAATAAGTATGATATTTTAAAGAAAACAAGTTTATTGAACAGAAAACAAAATCTTTGTATATAAATACATATTTGACATTTGTCAATTGTATTTGAATAGACCAGTTTTTCAATGTGACAACTGTTTTTAAATTGGCATTGAGCTATTGCATTCATTTTAAATGATACCATTCTTTATATATATGTTTAAATGTAATGTTATTTAAAGTTTTAAAAATAATTTTAAAAATTCATTAATTTAGGATATTATAATATGATTGATATTGATTAAATGCAATGTGATTTTATTTTACTTTTTTATTTTTTAGGATTTTGATTTGTACCTTTTGGATGATCCATTTTCAGCAATTGATACCAACGTTTCAAATCATATTTTTAAAAATTGCATTATAAATCTTCTAAAAAATAAAACCAGATTACTTTGCACTCATCATGTCCACTTTCTTTCTTATGCAGATTACATTATTATTTTAGATGGAGGTCATATTATATTAGAAGGTATTTAAATTTTTGATTTTAATTATTAGCAATAGAGTAAAATAGGCAAATAAATCTCATATTGAAATATCACTATGAATAAATTTAAAATATGTTTGAAAATTCTGATTTTCAAATGATCTATTAATAATATATCTGGTATATAGATGTATTATTAATAGATCATTCTGAATTATAAAGATTATCAGTAAATATTTAAGTTAGCTTAAAAGTCTTTAATTGAATATTTCATTTTATTTTAAATTTGTTTCAAACCTTATTTCAGTAAATTTTTCTGAAAGTTTCATTTAAAATTTAAGTTTTTATGAAACTTTAAAGATAAAATTTGTACATCTGGATAAAATAATACAATGGCTTTTATTAAAAGATTATTATTTATTTACTTAATAGTAAAAAATGGGTAATTTATTTAGATAATTTAAAAATATATTTAGTTTATAATTATAAAAATTTTCATTTTATATTTGAAAGTTTCAAATAATTAGAAAATAATTTAAAAACTTAACTATTGAGTAGGCATATAGATTACATATATAATCCAGAATAATTTAGTAATGAAGTCTGTTTGATTGAGAGAATTTTATCAATATTATTCTTCAGTAGCTGTTCTCATATTATAATGTGTTATATGTATAATTAAAAAATTTTTTAAACTAGTTATAGCATCAAAAGTCAATTACAAAACTCAAAACTTAATACATTTGGTACATTTGAAAAATATATGTCTGGAACAAATTTCAATTTGCAACTCACATAATATGAAAAGTATTGTTAGTATGATATCTAAATTCTAAACAAAAATTTCACCAAACATAGATATAAAGAGAATATTATAAAGAATGAAGTGTTAAAGTTACAAAACATGACACTTATGGCAAAAAGTAACAAGCACTTAATATAAACATACTGTATATGTGTATTTATATATCAAAATCTCAAGTTATTTTTCCTAAACTATATCAAGTATATAGTTATGATTGATTTAACAAGTAAACTAAAAAAAATATTGGTACCTTTCTGGTAATGGCACCTATAGCCAGGTTCATATTGACTAAACTCTTGCTATGTCCCTGTATAAAATGAATGTTAACTGATTTTAAAATAAAAGTAGGTTAGATTACTTGTGATGAATAAAGCTGTATTTATATTTAAACATTGACCTTCAGATAAAAAATTATATTTTGGTCATGTATAAGATACATTTTACATTGTCTTATTTACAAATGTAATATTTTAAATATTCAAAATATTTAAATTATTATTATTACTATTACTCAATTGTTAAATAAAACATTTTATAGGTGTACCAGAAAAAGTTCTTCAACTTGATATAGTCCGTCCAATTTGTTGTGAGGAACAATTTCCTGCTATTAATGATAAAAATAAATTAGAAAATAGTATGCAAGAATTGGAAAAATCAGAAGACCATGATTTTTCTACTGCACAAGATGGCAAAATACAAGGAGGACAATTAATTCGAAAAGAAGAAAGCAGTCAAGGATCAGTGAAATTTCATGTTTATAAATCATATTGGAATGCAGTTGGAAGTTGTCTTTCATTTTTTGTTTTGCTTTCTTTTTTCTTCATGCAAGGTAATTTTATTTGAAAACTATTTTACTTATGGTAAATTTTTTACTGGATATTTAATTTTTATGTATTTATTATTAAAATTCAATAATTTTATTAGTACAGTAGAGTGTCATTTATCTGAATCAATTGGGGACTGAAGTTGTTCGGATAACTTATTTTTCGGATAACCGATTATGTATGAAAAAATATATTAACCTATCCCGTGTTGAAATGTTTCTCCATTGCGTGTCGCTTCGCGTTGAATTTTCATCGATGTTAAGCCAAATGTAAACTTTTTTAAATAATAATCGTGGCTATTGTATCGTTAAAAGTTATTTCTTTATTTTGTACAAACAAAATAAATATATTGAAAAATATAAAAGCAAAAAAAATTATACTTTAGAAGTTAATCTAGTATCAAAAATGTTCGATTCAGCACGACACACAATCCTCAGAAAAACACTACACAAAAGTGCCAGTGCTGCCAGCTAAAACACACACACCAACAAAAAAAAAATATTGGAATAGACCAAGATATAGCCAAAGATTGCAGCGCCACAGTACTAGCAAAAATTTAAATTTGCCGACTGGAATGCTTTCAGTTAACTGATGTTTCGGATAACTGGCTTTTGGATAAATGATGATCTACTGTATTTGCTGATTGTACAATGTTATTAGCCATAAACCCATTCCTTGATTTATGAATATTCAAATTGTAAATTTTTACTAATCTAAATTTATTGAATTTATATTTTTAAATTTTTAAGTGAAAATTTATAATAGTTTAATCTATATATAGTGAAAGTTTAATCTATATATATTAATTTTTTCTTCTTCTAGTGGACACTAAAAAGATATACATATAACATATGTTATCAAAATAAAGATATTCACATTTCAGTTTTGATTATCAGGCAAATTTTATTGCCATCAATACATTTTAAATTGGTGCCTAGTATTAGCACTCTATTGTTTATAGCTCTATAGTCCTAAGAGGTGTGTATTTATGTACATAATGTATATTCTCAGTATGTAGAGGTTTGTATTTTAAAAAATTATAAGAATTGAACACATGGTACTTTTAACATTTTAAAGAAAATATGATACTGAAATATTGCTTTTCTTGAAAAATTGCCTACTTTTTTCAATTAAATAGCCAATTTTTTTTTCTTTGTTGTTAAGAGCCCTAAATTATCAAGATCTACAACTTCACAAATATTAGCATATGATTAGTTTATGATTTAGGTGATATATCAATCTCTGTTACTCTAAGAATTGATAGAACTTTAAATTATAAGCATCCCACAGACCTGATAATTGTTGTGGTTCATGTAACCCATTGCACCAAGACCAGGAAACTTTATAGTTTTCATCCCCTAAGTGTACACTCCAATCCCCAATCTTGTTCTTTATCAATCCTGATCTCACATGTGCCCTAGGCACTTCTAGTCATTCCCTCCATATTTCCCTGTGTTCTAAAAATGTTCACACGCATTATGAGACTTTCAACTCATCCTAGTTTCTTTGCACTTTCAAAAATTTTTCTGTGCTTGTGCAGTTGAGATTTCTGGTCTCTTTACTCATTATTCTGTAAATATATAATAAATGCCTTAAATTTGCATAAATTTTTTTTATTGTAATAATATGAAAATTATTATTATATGTGGGAGACCCAAAAAAACCGGATTTTTTTAATAAAAATTTTATTTATTAGCTTTTTTACAAAATTCCTTCAGTCACCTTTAAAGTACTTTCCATTAGATGCGATGCCCTTGTCAAGTCTTTTTCCCCACTGTTTGAAGCATCTCTGGATCTCTTCAACCTTGATATCATCTAATGCCCTTAGCGAAGCTGTTTTTACTGCCTCCACATCATCAAAACGTTTCCCTCTTAGAGTTTTCTTCATTCTCGGAAACAGAAAATGTTGCATGGGGCTAGGTCTGGTGAATGACAGACCATCCCTGAGAGGACAAATAGTGGGTCACTCGTAAGGCCGTGTGTGCGGGGATGTTGTTGTGATGAAGAAACCAGTCACCTTATTGCCAAAGTTCCGGATGTTTCCTTCGCACATCCTCTCACAGACATCTTAACACTTTTCTTGACGGATTTTTTCAACATTTTCATCGTTTTGAGATGTTGAAGGACACCCAGAACTTCGCAGGCAGAACAAAATAACAGTAAGAGAAACATAACACTACACTCAAATGTAAACCTACAACTGACGCCGCTTGCACAGCTGTTTCGTGAAGGTCTCTACTACATCTACAAATGGCAGCACGCTCTCAGTTCGGTTTTTTTTTTTTTTATTTTTGGTCCCCCTTATATATACAAACTTTATTGGGTTTTGTTAGGATAAGAAATTTTTGCAATTAAAAACATGAAATATTTTTAAATATGTCATATATTAAAAATATAAATTTGGAATTCTTTTTTATGTTAATTAATTTTATTTTAAAATAATACATACAAGTTTTGAAAAATGTAAATAACAATATTTCTATTTAGGTGCAAATAACCTATATATTTCCAAATCATAATTTTCAATAATCAGCAATGTATGTTTATGTTTAAATTCAGATGTATCTATAATCTAGATGCTACTAACAAAAATTTTGCATTCTTTAATGCTTTATAGAAATATAATTTAATTTTTTTTCTCAATAATTAATATCAGGTCAGTCCATACGTTCGTGCACATTTTTATCTACAAAAAAAGCAACAAAAAATTTTAACTAAATTTTATTTCAATCTATAATGTATTCACCATTATTTTGTACAATTTCTTGCCATCTTGATGGTAGCTTTTTAATCCCGTCTTTGTAAAATGATTTCGGTTTTGAATCAAAATATTCAGAAATAGCCTTTTTTACATTGTTCTCATCCTCAAAAGTTTTTCCTTTTAAAAAATTCTGCAAACTCCGAAAAAGATGATAATCACTGGGAGCAATATCTGGCAAATATGGTGGATGAGGTAAAATTTCCCAGTTGAAGCTTTTGAGTTGAGCAGTTGACGTTGTTGTCAGTTAGCTATTGACAGTTCATGTGGTATCCATTTTCCTAGCTTTGAAACTTTTCCGATTTGTTGTAGATGTCTATGAACAGTTCCATGGGATGAATTTAAACGTTCCGCAATTTCATCAACTGTTAAAGATGGTTCTGCTTCAACTAGTGCAGAGAGAGCATCATCATCAAAGTCAACGGGTCTTCCAGTACGAGCCTTATCCTCCACACTAAAATCATTATTTCTAAATCTTTCAAACCACTTCTGCGCAGTCCTTACACTAATTACAGTTTGATTATGAACAGTATTTAATTTTTTGGCTGCATTTGTAGCATTCTCATCACTTAAAAATAAAAAGTATAAAACATGTCTCTTATACTCATCTGTTACTTCCATTTTAACGAAAATAAACAACTGAAATGTTACTAATTCTGAACAGTATTATATGAATGAGATCCAATTTAACACTTCAGTGTAAAAAGTATGACATTAGACTGGCATTTTTAACAGCAAAACAAGATTTTTCTCAAGGTCATAAAATACTCACGAACTTATGGACTGACCTGATACAATTATTAACAAAATATTTTTACTCCTTGTATTTTGAAAATAGAGAAAATGAAGACTTAAATTTTTTTTTTAAACTTGTAGCTTCTAGGACAATGGCAGATTGGTGGCTGTCGGTTTGGATATCTTGCGATTCAAACCATAATGGAAATAACTCCATAAATAATTTTACAATTCTTTGGGAATTCTGGTCAGATAGGTTTGTTTCAATGTTTTTAATTATTATATTAAAAAAATAAACTTCAAAATTGATAAAAAGGAAATATTTAAGATACTCTCTGATAAAAATATTTTTTTTTACTCAATGTATCTATACAAATGATTCATATTGATATTGGTTAAGAGCCATTATACAGTAGAGCATTGATTATCCGACCCCCGATTAACCGTCACATCGGTTAACCAACCGTTCTAGTCGGCAAATTTCAAATGTCCACTAGTGATATGGCACTACAATATTTGGCTATGTCTTGGCTATTTTAATATTATTTTTGTTAAATTTTTGCGTGTTTTAGCTGGCAACACGGCTCGACCATTGAAGGGAGGCCAGTATTTGAACGAGACTTAATTTTCTAATTATGAATGGTTGTTTGTTTTGTGAGCAATAAAATAATTTTAAAATAATTTTTAACAATACAATAGCAACGATTATTATTAAAAAAAAATTGTTAGGCTTAACATCAATGAAAATTCAATGCGAAGTTGGTTAATAGCGATATACTAATATACTAATTACATGGGATATACTAATAATGTATTTTTTTCATTTTTTTCGGTTATCCGATTTTTCCAGTTATCCGACCAACCTGAGTCCACAATTGAGTTGGATAATTGATGCTCTACTGTATGTATAATTTATTTTGAATAATTGAAAATAAATTGTAAAACTCATTATAGTTATTGTTTATTAAATTTTTCTATGGTCATTAATAGTCATAAATTTCTTATGTAATTTCCAAATAGACCTCTAGAATTGAAAAAATATTAAAATATGTAATTGCAAGCAAAAAGTTTTATTTCTATTTTGTTACAAAAGTAATTATTTTCTAGTTGCCTGGGTGAATAACAGGCTACTAGGGTATCATTTTCACTTTCTTGTCAGAGTTTTTAAAAATAATTCCCACATTAGATTTTCATGATTTTGGTGTCAAAATGCTCAGTATAACCTTGTCCTTTGTGGGAAATACTTTTTGTAACATATAATCCACTCAGAAAAGATATATTCAAAAATGAAAATGTCGACTTTCTCCACTTTGACGCTTAATAACAAAAAAGCATTTTGACATTTTTGGGTGCTGTTTTTTGGAATATAAAGACACACAGTTGCTTGATATTTTTCCAGAGTTTGGTGAATTTCGGTTTAACTACAGAAAAGTTATACGAATTCTAAGAAGAAAGGTATGTCCCTCATTCCCACTAGATGGCGCCATGTTACCTAGCTCTAATAACTGGAATACATAATTTAAATGCTTAATTGGGACAGTAGCAAAAAAGGAATTTAGCAATTTTTGATATATTTTAGGGATCTTTCGAAAATATGTCAACTCTACATATACTAATTTACTGATCTCCAAACTTTTTTGATTGCATACCCCTAAGACGAAAATAATTATAAGTTGTACCTTCTATAATATAATGTAATATATTATATTACAATTTTTGTGATAACTCGGGATGTATTTTATTCATAATTGAAGTTTAGACTATTTACAAAAAGTCAAATTAACTTTTGAGTCCATCTTTATCCCTTATACACTACCACAGAAATAACAGTTTTAAAAAATTGCTTTGAAGAACTCTTCTTAAACACAGGTAAAAATTGGTAGAAAACTTCACAAGGTTAAAAAAGATAAAGTGTCAGCCTTTTCTTGTAGACTCATAATATACGTCATATAACATACTTCACAGCCTTCATTCAAACATATTTGAAACTTTTAACATTAGAACACAAAGACATTCTATTTATAGAATGAAGTTTTCCATTCTACAGTTTCTGACAAAGGCTGATGAAATAGTGGCTGAAACGTTAGAATATTGAATTTCTTTGCTGGAAATTTTGCATTGAGGTGTAATTTCTTATTTACCTAACATATCATTAAATAGTCATGTTTCAATACAGTGCTGCCGTAAACTTTTAAATGACACACGTGGTGAGTTCAAGCATTCTTCACTCAAACTGATTGATTATTCTAGACTTTATTCAAAGTCTAGAATAATCAGTCAGCGTCAGCATTTCCAATTTTAGTGAGCTAGCATCATTTAGCTGACCAATCAGTGCTTTGTGCCATCTGGATATTTAGTTGCACATAAACATCATAAGCCCAATGTATTAATAACAAACCAAATTATTTTACTTACTTCTAGTACCATATTACTTAATAGTTAATCATTAATAATAGCACTTAATTAGTTCACTTAATTACTGCAATTGTTTGATTTATTATTTTTATTATGTTGTAGTTTAACCTTGATAATCTTAATGTCATGTAAATTTTTAGCTTTAATAATGCCAATAAAATAAAAGTATTTTAGATTTTTTTATTTTAATTATATAATAATACCAGAAGAATAATTTATAGTTGTATATTAATGGTTCTATTATTTTCAAGCTATTTTTCTGTAAAACAGGACAACTTTTGGTAGGATTTGTATTATAGAGTTTGTTTGATATGAAAGTAAATTTATGGTTCTATCCTGCAAAAACTGAGTAGTCCAAACAATACAATCATTCCAAACATATAACAGACAAGTTAAACAGTGCTAAATTTGCATAATCTTGGCTATACAGCAATCAGAACTTGAATCTAACAGTGCATTTGGCTATTTTTTATATCACTTTAATAGTAGTAATTGTCTGTCTCATTACTTTGAAATATTTATTGTATAAAATTTACATTAAATTTAATTGTTTAGTAATAATTATGTTTTTCAAATTTATTAGGATGAATCTGACTTTTTCATCAGATCAAGGATTATGTTTTGATGGAGGATCAAGAATAAATGGTTCAAATATTTATCTGATTATTTATGGTTCCTTGGTAATAATAAACTCAATTTTTACACTGTTGAGAGCATTCTTATATGCTTACTGTGGTATATGCGCTGCTGTTGTTATTCATAGAAGATTGCTCAATAGTATACTTAAGGTAATATATTATTCTGTGATTGTTTTTTACTTAAAATATTTGAGTCAATATGAATTATTGAGTAACTTTTTAGTTATCATTTTAAATATATATTGTATCAAATTAGGATTAATTTTTAAGCATATTATAAATGTTTTGTAAAATTTGTTTAAAATTTATACATAAACATCTATTTATTTTTTAAAATATTGTTATTATTAAAGTTATAAAATTTTTAAATTTTATTATTCAAAAATCTGAGTAATCTTATTACATAAATCTATGAATAATTATTTTCCTGGCTGTTATAAAATATAATGTAGAAAAAGTATGATTATTGATCAAATTTTGATGCTCTCTGTTTGTTTTTCAATGTTTTGACACTCTAAGCCCAAAAATGTTAAAACAAAAAAATCCTTACAAAATTCTGTTTCTGTGTGTGTGTTATTTTGCATTTTATCTTAGGATTGGAGGAACTGAAAATTTTGGAAACTTGGCATGTTTATTTCTACATATAGCCATTGACGATATTAAATTTTGGTTGTTAAAGTCAAGGTGGTGGGGTGATAGGGACCATGTCAAATCTCTAGTGGAGTCAGACTTAATGAAAGTTTTACTTGTTATAAACATTTATAATTTCTTTAAAAACTTGCTCCCATCCCATAATAAGCCTTTTGCCTTTTTATAATAATTATAATAATAAAAAAATTATTTTTAATAAAATCTCATAACAGATGGTGCTGCACTTTAACTTTGTAAATTATAAGTGCCAGGAAAGTCACAAAATGCCTTTTTTTTTCTTTAATTCAGAATATAATATAATTTGATATAGTATTTTATGCCAGTGATTTACTTTATATAATGTTAATTATCAAAGAAAGACTAACAAATCAAAATTTTCATAATGTTAATTTATACAAACAGTTGTATTAGAATATTCATAATTATGTAAATTATAAAATAAGTTACATATAAACATTATTAATTATAAGTATTTTAGTAATCTATTTACCAATACAGTGGAACCTCACTTAACAAGTACTCTCATAACAAGTAATACACATAGTGAGCAAAACAAATTGTAAAAAAAAATGACTCGCTTAAATGGGCAATGTTTTGCATAACGAGTGACGAGAGGAGGGAAAGTCCCAGATTGAGCACATGCTACTTCAGTCTGTGTTCAACACTTGTTCAGCTAGCATGTTAGTGTTGCTTGTGATCACACATTATTCCAAACTTGTGTTCAGACATATTTCATATAAACATCAACAACTATAGCCTGTTATATAATAAATACACCAAATGATATGCCTAATTCTTGGGCCTATGTAAAGGCTATAATTAAATATTAGAAACTAAATAACTTTACTAGAGGTAGGCAGTTATGCTTGCATTTTGTATTAATGACCAATTCCAAATTAAATTTCGATTTTTTTTGTCTACTGCAAATCGAATTCACATTCCAGGTTTATTTTATGCTAGAAAAAAAGATGAAGATGATTCACACTTCTTAACAATGTATATTGTATAATTTTTGCTGAATAAACTTATATATCAAATATTTGAGTATTTTTTTCGGCATGGAATGCATTATTGTATTTTACATTAATTTATATGGAAAAAAATTGTTTCGCTTAATGAGTGTTTTGCATTAAGAGTAAGATTCTGGAACAAATTATGTTTGTTAAGCAAGGTTCCACTGCATATAAGATTTTCAATGATTCTACTATTCAAAAGATTAAAGATTCAACTATTTCAATTTGTATGATTTTATAAATCAAATTTTTTTACCAAAACTACATATACAAAAAATATTTAGATAAAGGTAATATGTTATTGGAGTCAAGGACATCTGCTGGAACTTTTCCAAGGGAGTGGACAAAGGGATAATGTTCAAAGTGCAAATTGTGACTTTTGGAACTTAAAACATTACAGCTCATATTTACATCATTTTGACATTCTAGAGAATTTGTAATCTAGTGAGTTTTTTACCATTTTATATATATATAATATACATAACTCAAATACAGTAGGGGCAAACAAGTTTTTTTCAGCCCATTTCCATAGGTGAGATAACCTCCACCATATACATCATTACAGTGCATTTACACACACATGTTATGATAAGTATAATCAAATGTAGAATTTAATCGGGTTACAAGAGGAAGGTGGTGGGATAGAGCCAGCTTCTTAAAACAACATTAAAAAATGTATTGTCATTGGACTTAGATGTTATCTTAATTAGAAGTGAGTGAAATTTGAATAGCAAGAATAATGGATACAATACAAAGCAATTAAATGAAACCATTTAAAAAATAGTAATTTTTTGATATATTAATATAGTATATTTTTATCATTTTTAATATAATGTGATGACTGTAGGACATTATTATAAATATCATTGTGTTCTTTTATTTGATATTCTTTAAAAGCTATATATTTCAAACATGATTATTTTATGAAAATTTTCATATGTTTTTGTTTACTTGTCCACTTTTATCTTCATCTAATTTATTTTAGTTTTACTTTATACTATCTATCAACATTATATGTCCTAACCAAATTTGAAATAATAGCTGTAATTAAAATTAAATATTTATGTAGTCCTTTGTATTATGCAAAACTAAGATCTTGCACAAAATTAAAACATTTATATACTTCATTTTTAGGATATCATTAGTTTTTTTTATATATTATATTATTGATTCTTAAGAAATCTTTCTTAAGAAATTCTTAGATAATTTTTAAGAAAAATTTCTTCAAAAGTTATATTTATGAATTTCTTTAAAAGTTTTATGAAGAATATGACTACTTTCATTTGCCATTTGTTTAGTGTATGTTAAAAAGTTGCTGTAAATCTTAATGACAGTGATGACAACAATGTTGGTGACTTTTTCATTGGAATAAAACTCCTTTCTAACAGAATATTTTGATTTTATATATCTAATTCTCATTTTCTAATAGCATTAAATTAACATAAATTTTCTATAGAATTACATTTAGTAAGAATTAAAGTTCATCTTCATAAAGATGAACTTTATGAAGATAATCTTTAAATATAATTAAATATTTAATTATATTTAAATATTAAATATAATTAATATTTAATATATACAGTACACAAATGAGAAGTAATAATTATAAATTTGAATTTATTTAAAAAATTTTATTGCAGGCTCCGATTACATTTTTTGATGTCACTCCTTTAGGTCGAATATTAAACAGATTTTCTACAGATGTGTACAATGTAGATGACAGTTTACCATTTATTCTTAATATTTTACTTGCTCAAATTTTTTCACTTGCTGGGTCTTTAACTATTACATGTTATGGACTTCCATGGCTAATTATTTTGCTAATTCCTCTGGCTGCTGCATATTACTTTATACAGGTAATTAAAGATTAAATTATTTACATTAAAAACTTGATGGTTTAAAAATAATAATATTGTAATGTTTAATTAATATATACATTGTAATTCTTAATTGTTTTATTATATCATATGAATCATAAAAAAGAACAGTAAATAAAATTTATATTTAATATATCTCACAATATTAACAAATATCTTTATAATACTTAAGAAGACACTTGTAATATCTTTTAAAAAATTACAAATTATTAACTTTTTCTTTTCTATAGAAAAAATTTTCATTGAAATGTTATAATATAGCAGTATGTTAGATATGGTACAATGATTAAACCTATTTAAAAATTGAATCATACTATATAAAATTTATCACAAGTAAAAAAACATATCTTCAAGAAATAAGTATTGTAATTTATAAATAGAAAAATATACACATTGAGTTTTCCATCTGTACAGTATGTAGTAATTGGACAAGTAAAAATTTCAATATTTAAGATAATTTGTAAAATCTGTAATTGTTAAACTTTCATTTACATATAATAGTTTATTTTTAAGATGTTTCTAAATTATCAAATATTTTGGCAGTAATGTTAAAAGTAATTTTCTCTTGATCATATGTAAAGAAAGCTAAAAGAAATGTAAAAATAGAAAATAAATTGTTATTAAGGATATATTTTGTAATTGTTATTTCATTAAATAGATGTAAATTTTTAAAAAATAAATATAAAATTATAATATTTAATCTATTTTTCTTTAATAGAATTATTATAGATGTACATCAAGAGAATTAAAAAGGTTATCAAGTGTTTCACTTTCTCCTGTTTATACACACATTTCTGAAACATTAAATGGGCACACAGTCATAAGAGCATTTTGTGCATCTTCCAGGTAAATTTTTCAAAAATATGTGATTTCAGATGTTTTGAATTATGGCCATTTTTAATTAAATATATTTAATTAAAAATAATTAATAAAAATAATTAAATATAATCAAAAATAAGCATACATAATATAAATTGTATAGTTAACTAACTTATTTAAAAGAAAAAAGGCTAGCTTTCTGTTTATCTACAGAGATATTAAGGAATGCAAACTAATTTTTTTCAGTCAGATTTAATAAAATATATTATTTAATTTTTCTTATAAATTATTTAATAATTTCAGTTAGTTATAATTTCATTAAAGGATGATGAACTTTTATACAAAACGATAAATATAAAAATAAGTAAACTGCTTATTTATTAATTAAATTTTTAAAATTTATATTTAGACACTAAAAGAATTATTGCTAATAGCAAATAACTTTTTGTTTTAAATCTCACTCATACCACATACAGTAGAACCTCGATTATCCGGACTAATTGGGGATGAAGGTAGTCCGGATAAGGAAAAATCCGGATAATCGAAACAAATACTTTAATTTGTCTTTTAATGATAATACAACATGTTTTCTTTTCGATGACATATCGGTAATATTAAAAGTAAATACTGTATTTAAATCGTGATCAAATTTTCAAGAAACAAACGTTCGTATTGAATTTGGACTACTACTGACCAACGCTAACAGACTACCTATTGTTTAAAAGGCCCTCTGGTGGCGCAAGAAGACGGATTTTATAAAATAAAAAGCAGTTGAAACTGCATTTTTATGAATAAAAATTTGACAAACTATTTATCGTTTTATGACGAGTAAAATTTTTTCGTCGCGTTCGCGGCTTTTAAGTAATGCATAAACCTTCGAGGCGCGAGGCCCTTCGGACCGCGAGGCATAGGCGGTGGCCCACGTCGTCCATGCCTTACGCCGCCCTTGGTCATAGAAATGATGTAATTTGAATATAAATTATTTATAAATACGTATGTCAAGTTATATTTTTATTACTATGTAAAATATATTTAAGATATATTTTACGTAGATGTAACAACGTAGATTCAACAACGTCTCACTGTGATGGGTGAGACGTTGTTGAAACAAAAAAAGTTATGCATTCCATCACGTACATAAACAGTGTCATAATTCGCCAAATGCAAATCAACAAATTCATAAAATTTTTGTTTATTTTGAACAATCCGGATAATCGAAAATCCGGATAATGGAGGTTCTACTGTATATCAAAAACATATATGCACCAAAAGAATTGGGGACTACACAATCTAATAGAAATATATTGCCAAAACACATTCAACTATATTAGATACTTTAGACATATATATATATATATACTTTTTCTGGTATAATCACTGTAACTATATTTAAAGTACAATCACAGACATACACAATTAAACTACAGACAAATCATAAGCCTGCCCAGCAAAGAAGAATAGAAACACTAATAAATAACGTTGGACCACAATAAGGCAGGTAATGCAATACACAAAAAATAGCATAATATTAAAACTAATGAAAGTGGTTAGAAGATATATAAACAAAATATTCAAGAAAATCAAAAACCCAAAAAAATACATGTCTTGAGGAATACATTGACACTTTCAAACAAAAACTTGCAGCCAAGTTACAAAGACTGAAATAATAAAAAATCTGTATGTTACAAAACACAAAATAAATTATTCATAAACAATGAGAGACTTTTTTTACAGACAACTACACATTAAGCACACCCCATATCATAGAACAACGGCACACCAACAAGAAAGAACTTGTAGACTACTGGAATGCTCTTTAATCCAGTCTAATTGCCTGCAATGATGAAGCAAACTAGATCAAGGAGGAAGAACAGCAAATGCATGAGACATCAAATATGCAGTACAAAGAACACACAATTTGAAGATATTTGATATAGATAACATTCACAATTTCTGGTAAAAAAAAACTTCAAATTTCTGCATCAGGAATTAGCCACTACCTTTTACACACATAATCAACAATCCACAGGCCAAAATTTTTTGCACTGGGTATCAAACATGAAACCCAAAAACAACAACACCAGAAACTCTGCACAATACAGACCAAACACATGCCTTTCTATATTCTACAGAATACTTATTTCATGCATCACAAACAAAATATATTATCATATAAAACAACATAGCCTTTTTTGTTGTTCTGTGAGAATGCTGTCATTGAAACCACATGGATGCAGAGAACAATTGCTTATAGATTCAGTTATTTTATGACAAGCACACAAACAACACAGTAACTTACACACAGCATACATAGATTACAGGAAAGCATTCACCAATATCTTACTATCATGATAAAATAAAATAACTTACTGGAATATAAATGCTTAAAATAATAATCAACACACCTTAGTAATTCCAGCAACGAAGTATTTAATAAAATAATAACGTTTTCGACTATATTTAATAGTCTTCTTCAGTTAATCTCTTCAAAAGTTTTGAAGAGATTAACTGAAGAAGACTATTTTTATTAAATACTTCGTTGCTGGAATTACTAAGGCGTGTGGATTATTATTTTAAGCTTACTATCATGATATTATTACTCCCATTACATATGTACAGAATACATTCAACACTTATTACAATTATTAGCATTTATGTTTCCCATAACCAGAAATTGTCAACATTAAAATTACTTTATTATTTTAATAAACAGTGTAAACCAGTGATGAACCACCTATGACTTATGAGGTCTTAATGTGTCCCCCAAGGCTTAAACAACATAATTTTATTTTTGTTTTTTCTGTTTCATGCTATTTTTCAGCCCTAATTAAGCTGATATTTGTGACAAAGAACATTCAAACTAAATTTGACCATTAAAAAAGATGAAAATAAACTGTACATTAGTAGTTTGCATATCATTAGTATGTAGTATTTTATTATCTAGTGTACTGGTATTTATAGAGTATGTTGGTATTCAGCAGGCTGCTGCTCCATAAGAAAAAATGTATGCAGCCTACTGGAAGCCTGTAAAGTTCACTTTGCAACATGCATCCAGAGAAGATGACTCATCACATATTACCCATATGGGTTAGGCACCTTTCAGCCAGAAAATTAAGAAAAAACAAAATCAAACACTTCTCTGTTGAGAAATGAATCATGTGACCCCACATAGCCACTCATGTACAGCTAAATTATCTATTTGAAAATTTCACATGCTTACTCCACTGACATTCAAATGGAGTTTGACTCAATACTAATAACACAATTGAATGCAAAATACACATTTAAAGCAATCAACACATGTTGTCCCAGTACTGACATATTCATTTGAAGTTGTACATTGTACAAATAGAACTAGAACAACTTCAAAGGAAAACATGAACAAAATAACAAAATACACTATCACTAGAAGAAAGTCATCTGTAGAAGAAAGGTTGACTCTTCCTCATAAAGAGGGAGAACGAGGCCTCAGACATTTTAAACCTGTACCACAAATAAATACAGATACTGTGAGAGATTTTCTATAGAAAACAAGAAATATCATAATTGCACAAGCTGTAATTCTTTCAGACAAAAGCATATACCTTTAAACTTACACAACACTGACCTGGATCTAATACAGTACATAAAATGCACAGACTGCAACATGCAGTTTTAGGTTTAGAAGGAGCATCACAATAAGCACCCTAATAATCTCAACCAGGAACACATTGACAAAATTGTAACAAACTGTTGATTGACTCATGGATGTCTATTTGGAAAGACAGAAGGATTGATTTTTGCCATACAAGACCAGGCCATAATTATAAGAGACTATAAAAAGCACATCTTAAAATACACAATTCTCACAGATGACACTTGTAAAAAAAATGCCATATTATACACAAGACTGTTCATCACATATCAGATTGCAAGCTTTTAACACAAACTGAATACTTAAATTGATATAACCAAATAACAAATGCAAAAACAAATTATTACACATTTAGTAATCATATTATAAGTACATACAGTCTTAGAAAATCCATCATAGAGACCATCACAGTCAAAACATAATTATATACAACCCAGAGCAGCTCTTCCAAACATCTACAATATCCAAAATATATACTCTGAAAAACTAACAAATACTCAAAACTCGCCCATAAAATAAAGTGCTGTAGATAATGGACTGGATTTTTATTGTGCCCAAAATAATTTTCTTCACAGGTTTTCTACCAAGACACTACAGAGAAGTTTAGAAACATTAGGCCAAAACAACATTATATAAATCATATTATAAAAAGCATCTGCATTAGATACACGACATACTCACAAAATTTTTAAATACAGACACATACACCAATGGCACATAAATTAATTTTTTTTTTAATCAGACTTTGACATTGGTTTGGCATAGTACTTGGTACTAATACCAAGTTTGTAGGTTACAAAATCCATCATAAGCATAATGATAATGATGTAATGAAAAATAATAATAAAGTTATAGCATTTGGATGTAATTTGAAACAAAAAATTGTGAAAATGCTGATCAAGATTTATATACAGAAGAAAGTCATCTCCAGAGGAAAATGACTTTTTTTTTTTTTTTTCACTCAAACTAACTAATATTTTTTAACTGCAAAATAGATTGTATTTCCATAATATCAGTATAATATATTTCTAAGTTTACTAAAATCTAAAAATATTTTAAGATTTCAGCATGAACTATCAGAAAAACTGGATAAAAATCAGCAAGCAAGACTTGCTACTATGCTTGCTTCACAATGGCTTAATCTTAGGCTTCAACTAATTGGAGTTGTTATAGTTACTGGTGTTGCTTTTATAGCAGTATTTGAACATTCTGTTTCTTCTGTTGATCCAAGTAGGTATTATTTTTATTTTACAAATAATAAACTATAGTTTACTAGTTTATTATTTGTAGTTTATATTTATAGTATTTATAGTTTCAAAATATTTCTCTATTTTAATCAGTTTTTAACATTAGAGTTCCATATCATTACACGTAAAAATGAATTTTATAAAATGCTTAGATTTTTTGAAGAAAATTTTATTTTGAAAAATTAAAAATATGAAATCCTTGATAGATTTATCAAGTAAATTTTTATATCTGAATCAAATTTATCGTAATTAACTGTTTAATTTGAAAATGTGTTTACAGTATTGATAAATAAATAACCAAAGTATGTACATACTGTACATTATAATATAAAAAAAAATTCCAAACTTCATATATGCAATATTTTAGTGTAACTTATTTCTTTCAGTTATAATAATGCTTAATTTAATACTGAGTGTGTTAAAGCTATTTGGCAATTTTTGCTGAACTGAATTTAAATGAGCAGCATGACTATTTAAAATTTTATGTAAAACTCAAAATATTGACATAGAAACATTCAACATGATAACATTTTCAGAGATGTTCAAGTGACTTAAGTGTTTAAAGAAGACTGTATATCATTGAAAATTATAGGCTTTTGTATCATTTTTTATTTATAAAGATATCAGAAATAATCAGAGATAAAAGTTAAATTTATTCCAAAATTTCCCCATAAGAAACAATGCAAAATGGATTAATCTGTTCCTGATCCCAAACAAAGCCTTTTTTTTTTTTTAACCTTTTTACTTGTATCTCAAGCATAAAAATACCTACAAATGCAATATAACATTATCTCTATCCATTTTATTTTATATATATGTATTAAAAGCAAAATGTTCCATCATGCCAACAAAAACCGAACCCATCAGTTTATGAATAAGTGCTATAAATAGAGACTCAACTTTGTCTTGATAAAATATAACCAAATCAATCAAGATGGACAACATGTACTTTATCCATACTTTCCAAAATATTAGGTTTCAGTTGTTTTGATTTAAATTTTAATTTAAGTTTCAGTGTAAGAAACAAGAGTTTTAATTATTATTTTACTATTTTTAGTTTTAATTAACTGGCTAGCTAGTACAGTAGAACCTCGAAAACTCGGCTCTCGATAACCCGGCACTCCGGATAACTCGGCCACACCCTAGCAGGGCAAAAAAATCCTTAGTTAATTAATTTTCATTATAGACAGTTTTATAAAAGTATAAAAGCTCTCGCAAAGTATTTTTCTGAGGTCTGTCTTATCAGGTAAATTACTGTACACAGTGTATACATTAATTTTCATTTTCATGTAGTAAAGGCTCTATGCCTTCATAAAGGACGTACTTTTCCTTTGTTTAAGGGTATTTGGGCAGTTTATTCTCTGTTATATTCTCAAGTAAACAATACATACAAGTACAGTACAGTATTTTCTGAGGAAACACTTGTACTTATTTTTTTTAACCCTATTCCCGATAACCCGGCATTTTCACAAACTCGGCCACCCTTCAGTCCACATTAGGCCGAGTTTTCGAGGTTCTACTGTATTAATAAATATTAAATTAAATATTATTATTATAATGCTGTACATAATATTATATTAATAAATTTTTGTTATTTAATTTGAGTTAAGCACCTTTAAATACTAATTATTGAATGTCATTTATATTATATGAATGCCAATTAATGCAGTATTTATTAATTAATTTGATTTAAATTGAATTGTGATGCATACTGAAAATGGGGAAGTGTAGTATCTTACCCACACATGCATTGAAATTTAATGTTAATAAAGTCATTGATGGTTTGTTTGTGTTGTGACGTCTAATGAGACAAGGTGAATCTTGGCTGTTGGTAGTCCTGTCATTGATTGGTTGGGTCCTCAACATTCTTTAACATAGGGAGTATAGGAAGTTGACCATTGGTAGCTGGCTCTGCCAAGTATCTTGTTCAGAAACCGAGTTATTGTACATACAGCAACTGGAGCAAATGACATTCAAAATTTTGTTTGTAAATGGGGCATTTGTAACCCAAGGTTTGACTATTTATTTACAACTAGCAGACCCCGCCACGCATTGTTGTGGGTCAAAATGTATCTATTATAAATGTATAATTTCCTCCGTGTGGGGGAAATTTTTCAAAAAATTTCTTCTTAGTGTGCATTCTCTTGACGCACCCTATTAAAACGCAATCAAAAATGCAAAAACCCGCATCTAAAATAGTATAATAGAAGCCAAGTTCTTCATGGTAAGCCTTAATCCTAACCATCTCCCTTCAGTGGGGTGGAATTTCGACATGTATATTATATGAAAACACATGCGTATTCAAATGCAGCGGTTTGTCAAAATTTCAAAGGAATCAGTAGGAACAAACAAACATTACATTTTTATTTATATAGATAGATAGAAGATGATCTGATTTAATTCATTTTCACAGAAAAGCATAATGCCTCACAGAAAACCAAACTTAGGGTGTCGTACTCGTAGCACCATCTGTTGGACATAAAAGGCTTAACCTAGATTATATCTTTTAATTTGTATGAATGTTTAATGGAATAATATATAGCCTATGTCCACCCTGAAGTTCCATTCTAAATATTGGTGAAAGAATTTTTGAAATCGGATGAGTAGTTTCAGAGATTACCTGCTACATCCAAACTTACTTACAAACATTACCTCTTTATAATATTAGTATAATATAAGATGATTTAGAACAGTATATCATGTAGTTTATTCCAGATCATTGACCAGAACTTGGTACTGAGACATGGTACAGCAAAGTTTGTACTATACATTTTCATATTTCTTTAAAAATTATTTTAAAAAATTATAATAACTTGAGATTTATCAGAAGAGGATGAAACGTTATCAAAATGATTGTTACTGACAATGAGATGTGATTGTACAGTTTTGATATTGAAATCAAGACTTTAGTCATTATAATAAATTACTAAAGAGATCAAAATGATAATTTTTTTAATCAATTATAAGGAAATTGCATATCATAAATTTACTTCAACAGATCAGGTAATCTATTGAAACAGATTTATGATGCAAACTTTTCATTGAAGTTTTGAAATATTTACCAGTAATTGAAAAAATAAGACTGAATAACCCAAATTATGACAGAATCAAAGCAAGTTATTAACACTACAACAACATATATAGCTGGATGGCCAAGGCAATTAAGACATCGTGCTACTTCTCTGGAGAGCTACGATTGAATCCAAATGGGTAAAAAATACCAGCAATTTTTATGAGTGACATAGGCCAGATACGTTGGATTCCTATCCCTTACCATCTGGCAGTTCCCATTGTGGGTCTGGCCAAATCCCTGATGGACCTAAAGAAAGTCTTCTTTCTGCCCTATCTAAATCATTACTAAGTAATAAATGTAGTAAGATGTATGTTATTGTATTGTAAAAAATGGCTAATGAAAAACAATGAAATGCTTATATATTGTCAATCTATGTATCTATAATTACACAGTTCTTCCTATGTGACATGTATTTAATATGTTGTAGCTGCTTTCTATACTATGATATATTAATTTGTTTAATGCTTCTAGCCCTCGTATATTCTGTTTGATATTTGTGTGTTATCATTTTAATTTATGTAATTTTAATAATGGTTTATTGTACATGATATCTATTTATCATTTGTCATACATAATTTTTATAATTGTTATAATCTTCATTATTTATAATAAATTATTAATAGACAGTGGTGATATTCAGCGGGTTCGCACAGGTTTGGCCGAACCTGTTGTTAACATTTTCAAAGTTTTCCGAACCCATTGTTAAACACACGTAACATTTCTCGGTGGTTTTGTTTCTCTTAAAAAATATATTAAAAAATATGTATTATACTCTGTAACACTACTAAACTAGAGCCTTATACCCCGTTCGCCATGGTTCAACCTCCATCGACCGTTTCAATCTCGACTGAAATGAGATTTAATCGCGATCGACTCAAGAGAGTTCTTGAAACTAGGACCAGTCATACGAGAGATCCCACAATCCCATGCGTGCGAGAAAATACAAGATGGCTGCGGAACACATGTTGGGCTATCGACAGCGAAATAAAAAAGATATTGTATTTCGAGAAACGATGACATCTGTCTATTATTATAATAATACCTAATGATAAAATAAATGATTTAGAAAAGTTTTTTCTTGAGAAAAAGTCATAGGGAAAGCAGTTAACTCCTTGGGACTCTAGCAATTTTTGATATTAATGTAATTAAACATAAAAAATACTTAAAACTGAAAAAACGAAAGAAATGCGTTAATTCTGAAGAAAAAGCTTCAGATTTTATTTTCCTTTGTCTTGTCTTTCTGTGAAATCTGACGCTGATGAGTCATTGTTTAAACAGCTGGATGACCTTGAACACAGCTGGAGTTGGATTTCCCGGGACATTCTCATAGAAGTCTCGGGAGGCGATGGGTTTATAGTAGGGTGAATACTAGCTGGCCGTATATTTTTAAAAAATTAAAATTTTTATTGCGATTTCCGACCCCCCGACTTAATTAAACTTATATATAATAAAATCTATTAATTAAAAAAATTTAAAAACTATCGGAGGTCGTTTTTGACATCAGAAACTAGCTTTAAATAACTTACCGAAGGAAAATTTGTGCACTACAACTTTAGAACGATGAATGAAATTTGATATCAAACTCCCATTAAAAAACAAATTAAAAGCAATTAAGCGTGAATCGTGCATCATTAAAGGTAAATTAAAATTGCGATAAAATTTTTTCGCGCGGGAAAAAAATTTTGAAAAAATTTGGAGACTTAAAAAGCATTTCAAAAATAAAAAAAACAAAAAATTTTTAGGGGGTCCAAACGCCCGAGTTTTTTTAACTCTATGTAACTTGCCTGAGATATCTCGGGCTTGGGGCTTAGGAAACATTTTCTGTTAGTGAACCCTTTGTTAAATATTTCGAATATCACCACTGTTAATAGCTACCATGTATAATAGGCCCTTATTAAAGTTACCTAAATTAAAATGGTAACACACAAATGTCAAACATAATATATTAAGATTGTTATTAAAATTCAATGTTTTTAAATTTTGTACAATTTATATAGTGCATTTTACATAAAATTTAAGAAAAATATAGAAAAAGACAACTTCAAAACAGAAATTTTGGCTATAATAAAGTATAGCCAAAATTTAATGTCCAGAATTTAGAATAGTTTTGTTTTATAATTTGAGAAATTATGCCTTGTATAAATCATCTTACAAATATTTCAGTGTTTTTATTAATTGTAGAATTTTCTATACAATTTTTTATTACTTTATAAGCAGTTTAAATTTGATACAATTTCTTTTAGGTCTTGTTGGACTTGCATTATCTTATGCTTTATCAGTTACTGGTTTACTCAGTGGAGTAGTAACATACCTGACTGAAACTGAAAAAGAAATGGTTAGTGTTGAACGCACAATGCAATATATTGATGGTATCACTCCAGAAACTACAGATGGATTCGAACAGGTAATAAAATTTTATGAAAATAGTAATGACTAAGAATATTATTTAATAAATTTCAGTAATTATTTAAAACAAAAAATATTCACACATACCATAGACATAGTCATTCCAAACATCCATAACATACAGAATACACCAAAAAACATTTACATTAAATTGTACATTAAAATTGTTTGCAAAAAAATCATTTTACGTAAATTTAAGTAATTAAAATGATTAATAAACCAGAAAAAATTCTTTAAAAATATAAAAATAATGGTAATTTATAAATTTTTCTTCATTGATAATATTATTACAAAGATACACCAATGGATTTAGAGAATCTGATGCTCTCATTATTTGAATATTCATTGAAACAGTAAATGTTCAGAACTTGCCCACAAAATACAGCAACTATAGAGAATGGATAAAGTATTTAGCTTGCTCTTAGTCTTCTGTTGAAAAGGCATCATAATACTATACAAATATTATCTATCTATCTAGAAATATTAAAGCTAAATTGTTGTGCACATACAAATATACATTATAGAAAGCTACCTTACTTAGACACAAGTTACATAGTCAGGAAATTTTTAAATTCTGATACATACATCACAAACATCAATAGCATTTTGCAGCTTTTTTGGTAGCTATGTCGACCTTGATCCATCATATTATTATGCCGGATCAACTGAGCAGGACATAATCCACTAAAATAATAATAGGTTTCATTATAATTTTAGTTAATTAGATATCATTCTTTTTATAAGAATGTGAATTAATATTCATGTTTGTAGAAAAATAATGATGTACTGCTATTAAACTCCAGTTCTGTTAAGTCTGCACCTAGAACATTCTGTGCATGTGTTAATTTTGACCCATCAATCCTCCTTTGTATACTGTATAAGTAGTGGTCCCTTTATTTTTGAAATTTATATACTTTATATATCATTTTGCCAAGATATACTTATTTCCTAGTTATTCAGAGCTGTTGCATTAATATGATATAAATTGGGAGCTGAGATCAAGGCCTTTGGCATTCTGTATCTGCAAAAATATTCATTAACTAATTTTCTCACAATAGTTTATACAGTAATGTTTTTTAGTGGAAAAATCTCTATTCATTTACTAAGTAGTTTGTAACAACTAACAAACACAAGTTATCATTTCTTGATCTTAGAGAGAGAAACCCAAAATATCAATACCTAATAAGTTAACTTGGTGATGTTATTAACTTTTAAACTTTGCATCATTCCAGCACATTTCTTTTGTTCTGTCTTCATTATTTGACATACATGGCAGCCTAATGTATATTCTTCAATATATTTTCTCATTCCTGGCTGGTAACAATATTCAGCTATTAGTTTTCCAAATACCAAATGTTCAGCTATGATGATGATCATGTAATTCCCCTAATATTACTGTTTTTGACAGGTTAGAGATCACAATTTGATAACCAACCGATTCAAGTTCTTGGAGTAATAAGTAACATTATTTTCAAGTACATAACACTTTGACTTACTAATTATTTCAGCTGCCAGTGTTGAACAAGTGCTCACAAATTGTTTGTAATTCACCATCTTTTAGATATTTATATAGTGTTTTAAAGTTTTGTCTTTTAATTGTTCTTCAGTTATTTATGACAAATTTCTGAAAAATATCTGAAATAAATGAGAAATATTATACAGATATCAGATTATTCATGAAAAGACTCTGGTTTTACACTATAGTTAGTTTCTGACTTATATGAGCCATTCATAAGCCAAATCGATTAACTCCACATTTTGAATTTTTTAAATTTTAGTGTCAAAGCACTTGATATACTCATAACTTTTTACATTCATAATGAGTTTCTCTAATAATAAAAATTAATACCACTTAATGATGAAATTTTATTGGCCAATGAAAAAATTCTATTTATTTCAGAAGCCAATCTAATTAACTCCATACTGTAACGTAAATCTGCCAGTGCACACTGCATCATTACAATCGCAGTGTGCATTGACCAATGCCGTGTAGATAAATTATTTAATGTTATTGTATTAATTTACTGTATTGTATAATTTACTGTAATGTATTAATTTACTGTAATGTATAATTTACTGTATTGTTATACAGTAAATTATTTAATGTTATTTTATCACAAAAAGTAAGTAAAAGAAATTAGTTAGTTACAGTCCAACTGCCGCAGAAGTAAGTATACATGTGGAATATTGAATGATTGCTTTAATTTTGGTGGCAATTGTTTTTAGAAAAAAGTTATACCATTATATCAAAATGGATGAAACTAAAAACAATTTTATTCATTCCTCCTATTAAACATGATTCCTATAAAAATTTAAGAACAAATCGACATGATGATATCTCAAATACAGCTGATGAAGAAGACATCATATATGTGAGGATTTAGGCCCTTTTGTGAGTTTTATAATTCAAAACAAATTTTTTATTATTCGTCAGTATTTCCCTTCTTCCTCCAGTTTCGTTTTTTTTTGGAGGTCAAAACTAGACCTTTTGACCCATCAATGTTCTGCGTCACTTTGGAAGGTGACCTTTTAGGCTTTCAAAGTTGTTCGGGAGGACAGATAAAGTTCTCCCCTGACAATGGGATTATTCATTTCAATCTTCATTTCGATGTACAAATAACTAGCCAAGTAACAAGAACCTCAACTTGTTACATGATAGAGGGTAACAAAAGGGTCACCGACAAGGGTAGACCAATTGAACAATCATCACTCAGGTTGCACCATATACTCTGACCTTAGAAACCTTTGGCAATTAATTTAGTGAGTTTGACAACTGTTCTCAAATTTATGATGGGAAAGTGTCACAATAACGGAGAGAAAAAGTAATAAATCTAAAGAATGGTTTCTCTTGATAAGTAATATAAACAAATCCCTAACGTAAGTTGAACTTACATGGGATTGCATCAGACTTAGTCACCCCTTCTGGGACGTGTATAAAAAGGGCTTGGGCACAGTTTTCCAGGCGGACATCAACAGCAGACCTCCACTGACCCCTACTGTCACTCTGTCCGTCGTCACCCTGCCATAATCTCCAATGGTCAACTCCGCAGATCAAGGAACGTTCTACTAATGACCCATGCTACGAGATCGGAAACATAGAGGTATTATAGGAAATTTTATTAGTATACACTCTGTCTGAGAGGTCTCTCTCTCGGGTCTCTTTCTTATTATAAGATAAGAATAGTTTAACTTGGAGAATACAGGACAGAAAGGGTCCAGAACGTAGATGACAAGAATAGAGTGATCATTGTCACGACCTAGAATTTTCAATTATTCCCATTTTTGTAGCCATTCACTTTTGCCTTTGCTTGTATTCTTTTATCATTTATTAAATGTATTCTTTGTTGAACCTGTGGACCTGTCTATACTTTTTTCGGACACCTAGTCAACTTGCTCATCAACCTCCCCATTCACTTTTAGCCCTCCTAAAGCCATCACCTGACAAGAAGCCGATAAGTGGGGTCAGCTCTACCCCCTCGGTTCACATATATATATTGCTGAATAATCAATTAAAACAATATAATAGTAATAACCATTGTAACAGTAACAGAACAGTTGTTATTCATTTCTGCAAAAATCTTTAATAAAAAATGTATGATAATGAACGATAATGAAGTTTCTCTATAATAATAAAACTATATGAAAACTGAATTTGATGTTACTACATTTTTCACTTGCCAAATCGATTAACTCCCTCAATCACACCAAAATCGTAATAATAATTAATAATAATAATAAAATAATGATTATAGAATATTTATGCTATCTTATACATTTTATATGTTATTAAATAAAAGCTACATATACAATAATATATTTTACAATGTTTATTTGAATTTATATTTTAAAAGGAATTTTAAAAAAAGAATGTATAGTAATTATATATTACTTTGTCACTTTTTTCAACTTTTTGTTTTATGGAGTTAATTGATTTAGCAAGTGAGTGACACATATAGAGATTGCATTATACAGTAAAACCTGTCCAAAATAGAACCCAAATAAAAAGGAAATGTGTCCAAATTGGAAAAATTCTTTGGAATGGAGTGATTTTTCTATTTTCATTCTGTGGACGTAATATGATCTTTTAATTTTAGCTTATCAAGAATATGCAGTAGTAGTAATATTTTTAGTCATATCTAAGTTATGTGAAATTTTATTTATGAAAAATAGCCTGGAATGTGTCTTGAATATGTCAGAAACAAACTGTGTGTGTAAATGATGGTTACTTTAACTACATAGGTTTAGTTATGGTGTTAAAGTAAAACATATTCTGTTGGTGATGTTTAATTATCAATTTTGAACAAATTTTATTTTATACTATAAAAAGATTACTATTATTTTGCTTATATAAATTTTTTTAATAGTAATGTTGATTTTATCTTTGAATTAAATATGTAAAAAATAAAATTTTGACTTAGATATTTCAAAGTTTATTTATAAATATTCTTCTAGATACCATTTGGATGGCCTACACATGGTGTTATATCTTTCAGTAATGTATCCTTACAGTATCGCAGGAACTTGCCATATGTACTTAAAAATGTATCATTTGAAACACTCCCTGGAGAAAAATTAGGCATAGTGGGCAGGACTGGTTCTGGAAAATCAAGTTTACTTCAAGCATTGTTTCGTTTAATTGAAATTGATGAAGGTGAAATTTATATTGATGGAGTGAATACTGCATTTCTGAGTTTGAAGGATCTTAGGTATATAAAACAATACATTTCTTGCTAAAATAAAATTAAACTATTGCTATATACAGTGGGTGATCAGTTAACAAACATAATTCGTTCCAAGACTTTGTTCATTAACCGATTATTTTATATGTAATAGTAAAAATATATATATATATATGCAGTCTTGCATTTTTATTAGTCATGTTTTTTCTGTTTGTGGGGGTTAAAGAATCTGTCCAATGTCGATTGCTTTTCTCTTTTCTTCAGGATTTTTTGGAAGTAACTAATCATATTGTAATTATAAAGATCCCAAACCCCATTAACCTTATTCTGGTTTGGATGCCATTTGGATGATCATCGTTCTGACATCCCTAGAGTTCTTCTGTCATCAGATCAGTTTCAGGTTCCATTATGACCTCTAAAATGCTCTTTATTTCTCAGATGTGATTTTCATTACTCCATTAGTAGCTTGAGACTTCTTGATATATCTTTCATAGCTAAAATTGTGCCTACTGTAGACCTATTCAAGCCATACTGCCTAGCAACATCTTGTGCCCAATTTCTACCTTGGCTATTATCTCTTACTTGGTTTCTATGGTGAGCACAGTTCTTGACACTCATATTTTTGGCTCCATAATATTATCAGTTTCTTCCTTAAATAAAAAGTTCAGAAAAGCACTTACAAAAATTCAGAGAACAGAAATCAACTAGCCCACAAAAAGTTATTTAAATGCAAGACCCAGATAAAATTCGAAATTTGGTATTAAATCGTTAGCAAATATCCAGTTAAATCCAGATGGGACAGTTAAACTTTCACCTTACCTTTTGTAAATAAACCCCAACACAAAACTTAACAAGTACCTGTCCAACAGTCTTGCAATGACTATAAAAAATTATTTGTCAGAAAGGTAAACAAAAAACTAGAATTACAAGGGAGAGTTTCAAAATTCAGAGGGATACTATCTGATCAGTATTGGGTTGAGTGTCAATGTTGATGTCTCTCACGCTCCAAAAGGTTTCAAATTGTTACCTGAAGACAAGGGAAAATCAATCAGTATTCATTATTTTCCATCACTTCTTTTTATGTTTGTTCAGTAAAGTGTTCATTATCCAAACGTGTTCATTGTCCGATCATAAAAATCTTTTTCAAAAGTGTTCGTTATCTGATTTGTTTGCTATCCGAACTGTTCATTAACTGATCACCCATTGTATTTACATTGAAACAATGGAATAATTTATTTAATAAATATTTAATTTATCAAAATGTTTAAATTAATTAATTAAGTATTTAATATTAAGTAATTAAATTATTTCAAATTACTCAACTTAATATTTTAATTATATATTAATAAAAAGTTTAAGCAAATTAAGAAATTGATAAGTACTTTGTATTTAAGAAGTAATTGTTTAAACTGTCTTTACTGCATATACCATCTATATAGAAAGTTCTGGAACTGATTTTTTATCAGAGACAAGTAGTCATATACCTGATTGCTGTGTAATCTTTTAGTTAAAACTTTCATGTTTAGACATGATTTATTTTATAATGCTGTTGTCTTTTTTCTATTCTGTGCTAGTAAAAAATATTTCCTTTTTTTTATTTTGCTTGTCAAAAAATTTATGATGGAGCAGTAATTGGAAACTTGGTAAAACAGCTATGGAAGCTATGAAAAGTGTGTATGGAGACAGCTGTTAATCTCATTCAAAAGTGTTTTGAGTGTACAAATAATTTCAAGAAGGTTATTGCTTGATGATGATGATGCAAGAGTAGGATGCATGCCACAAGATTGAGGGATGTGAATATTGGAAATAATCAGGACCTCCTGCTCCTAGCAGGCACCACTGACTTCCTGCTTCCACCTGGGTGTGCTGAATTGTCTTTAAACAGATTTGGTGTGTTCTCCCTGAAAGATGGAAAGTGAAAGATTATTTTTCTGTTTCACAACAATGCTCCAGCCCATTCAACTGAAATTGTGAAGCAGTTTTTAGCTTGAAAACAAGTCCTCATACTCATTCACCCACCATATTCACCAGATGTTGCACCATGTAATTTTTTCTCTTTCCATACCTCAAGATGCAATAAACCATATAATGATTTAGAAGACATTCAAGGCAATATGATCCAAGAATTGAAGAGGATTGCAAAGGAATTTTCAAGCAGCTTTCAGTGATTGTGGGAATGTTGTCAATGGTACATTGAGACATGGGCAACTATATAGAACAGCGTTTTTTTCCAACTTTTTGGATTAGCAATACCTTGAATTTAATAAGATTTCTTCAACATATCATACTTTTTTAAATAAAAATGTTTAAAATTGCTACAGTCCTGTTTAAAATTTAAAATAAATTACAGTTGATTTTTAAAAATTTTGATACTACAGAAGTTAAACTTATCAAGACAAAAAAACAATTTTACAATATTATAAAAATAAAAAAGACTATTTGAATCAATGTGTGAAGAGCTATTATCAGTCTTTAAGCTAGTAAGCTGCAATGTTTATAGAAGCTCCAAAGAGTTGGTATGCCAGCACACACAGATACACACAACTTTTGTAGAGAGTTTGCTGATGCTGCAAATTTTGCAACATCAGCATTTTAATGAAAACTTCCTTCTTCCTTTGGTCAGCTGGTTATAAAAAGATAAAAGATAAGCAAAATTTTAAGAAAGAGCTTATTTAAACTTATAAAAAATATTTAATATTTCTGCAACATACCTGAAGCACTCTCAGGACATTGTATGTTACAGTGCACAGATTAAGAAATACTGATATAGATCATCGTAAAGATTAAAAATCTTTCTATTTACTTTTTCTTTTTTTAGAAATATAGTCCCAGAACTTTCTGGACAAACAGTGTATATAACAAATATTATATATAATGCATAATGCAATTTACTTTTTATTGAATTATTTGTGGATGATAATAAAATTTTGAATTATGCATCTAATATATTAATATCTATAGCAATGGTAATAAAAGCTACTAAATTTGAATTAAGGAAAATTTATTACTTTAGATTTAAAATACATCATTATATTTTATTTTGATTTCTAAGCTGTTTAAAATAACAGTTATGCTTTATTTTTATTTCTTAATTGAATGTAAACTATGTTTTCTAGCATTCAGCTAATCAAAATAAATATAGTATAGAATTTTTAATTTGGTTTTTTTTAATATACTAATTAATAAATAATTTAAAATGATGGAAAAGAAAATATAGCATATCAATCACACAAACTGTGTATGATTAATTTATATAAATTTATGTCTGATAACTGATTTTGGATTTTCAGTTTGGTTTTTTTTTTTCAAATGTCAAAAATTGTATAAGACAACTTCAGATGATGGATTTGAATTGCTATCTTGTAGAGTATACTTTACATTCTAATATTACTATTACATCAACTTAATTAACCGAATTAAATACATAATTCTAGCTTTTGTGACATTGATACATTACTGAGATGCATACTTTGAATTCATCATTTCAGTTACCTTAATTACTGTCTTAATTAATTTGTTTAAATTTTATTATTAAATTATTAATTAATTATGTTTTATATTAACATGTTTGTTCCCATCAATTCATAAATTTCAATTAGTTTTAACTTGTATTAAAAATTTATGAAGTGTTCTTTGCTTTATCATTACAAACAATGAAAACATTTACACAATTTAAAATCTCTAACAATTCTGTATGTACATACTATAAATTAAATTGTAATAATTTTGTTATAAATGATTTTAAATATTGATAAATATAATTATTNTGCGGCATTGTGACGATGTCACAATAAATAACTGCTCGTTCATAATAAATTTATTTAAAAAATTGTAATCATTATCGGGTTACAGTAATAATAATAATACAATGTAAATTTTAGATCTCATTTATCTATAATACCTCAAGATCCATTTCTATTCAATGCTTCTGTAAAAGAGAATTTAGATCCAAAAGAATGCTTTTCAGAAACTGAGTTATGGAGAGCATTACATCGTTGTCACATGGAAGATGAGATTAAAAGATTAGGAGGTTTGAATATTTCCATTGGTGAAGGAGGTCAAATATTTAGTTCTGGACAAAAACAACTTTTATGTTTAGCTCGAGCAATTTTATGTAAAACAAAGGTAAGATTTAAAATGTTTATTTGTTATATTGTATATAAAACTAAATAATAATATAAATTAATATAAATTTATTTTTCATTAAAAATTGCCTATGGTAATTTACATAGTAAAATTATAACAAAGAATACAAAATAATATCTTCATGATCCACCATTTTAGTCACTGTTGACAACCCAAAAAAAGAAGGGGGAGAAAAAAACAAATACCCATAGAGATGACCTTTTATTTGAGACTATGCCTCTGTAGAAAAAATGTAAATTGGTTTTAAAAACATCCTCTGGTGGTGATACCATAATTTAAAAATACAGTTTTTTTGTATTCTTCATTATAATTTTGCTACGTAAATTACTGTCTGCCATTTTTAATGGACTATGTCATTTCTGTTTTTGAAGATATTTTTTTGGTTCTCATTGGTGACTGAAATAGCAGATTGTGAAGACATTTTTTTTTGTATTCATTATAATTTTATTACATAAATGTCTTTGTTCATTTATAGTAATATATAGTTGTGTCCTCCAATTGATAAATAACAATTTTTTTCATTTATTCAAAATAATTAAAAATATTTTCTTTATAAATATTATTTTTGTATTTTTGAGTTTCTTATATTTGTTTGTCAGATGTCAAATGGCCTTGGCCTAAGCAATGGCTGGTTTATGATTCCTTACTTTAATTTTTCCATTGTGTCTTTTTTGAAAGTGACTACTCTCAAAAAGTTAACAAAGAAAGGGCTTATTATATAATCAGCAGCCAATCACTGCTTCATAGAGTGGAAGTGTTTTCCTGAAAATATTATTAAATAAATTTTTAAAATAAAATCGGGTAATGTGAGGCTCCATCATTGCCACGATAAAAGAGTTGCATTAAAATTAGACATCACTGATTTTCCAATAATAATGATGATTGGACACCCATGCCTGATATATATATATATATATATACAGTAGTTTATTTTGAGATACCTATCTTAATTCAGCATATCATATCACATATTCAAATTCATTATTCTGTATATCAAGTACGAATCCTTATTCATATAAAGAATAAGTTTTTCTTAAAATTGATTTTGAAACAATTTTTAAATATTTCCATATTTTCAATATAATTTTTATTTGGCAGTATTTATATAATATGAAAATTAACAAAACATTATTTTAAGTATTTTTAATTTATAACAAAATAATTCTTTGTTAATATTAATTAACAAATTTATTGAGCATCTCACTTCAAAATATTTTAAAACTCAAAATGAAGTATGTGACTTATATTTTTCAAAGAAACCATGTTTCAGTTTTAATATCTCAACTAATCAAATATTTGAAATGAATTTAATTTTATAAAATGTAAATCTTTACCTTTTTAAATTTCCATCTGATTTACATCAATAACTCTGTTAAAATAGTAAGATTAATCTTACTGCTATATTTATCAGCCATATAGAAAGAGCAATTGTTGGGTAAAATAGTCAAATCATTAGGATAATGGAATGATTTACCAAATATTATCAATTGAATATAATATCACAATTAAAAGTATATAGATTTCTATTATAAATGATTCTTTTCTTTTACCTTATAGAATAGTACTTTTATAATAATAAATTATGTGAAATCATATAATTAAATTTTTTTACAGGTACTTTGTTTAGATGAAGCAACATCTAATATTGATTATGATACTGACTCCCTTATTCAGAAAACAATAAAATCAGCATTTGCACAAACAACGATATTAACAATCGCACATCGAATAGAAACTGTAAGGAAATGTAATCGTGTTATTGTGATGAAACATGGTGAAATTGTGGAGTTTGATAATCCAACCAAACTTTTAGAAAATCCTAATTCATATTTTTCACAATTAGCTGTAAATAGCAATAATTTTTAGTATAAGATTTATTGAATTGTTTAAAACTTACTCAATTGGTAATAAATTATAACGAAAATAAAAACAATTTTTTCTAAAATAAAACAATAATAATAAATTGAAATATTTTAAATATTGGTAAATTCTTTAATAATGTACTCTAATAAACTTTATTTATTTAAATTCTTATGAAACTTTCCAGATACTTGACATTCAAGGTGAAAATTACTTATAAATGAAATATGCAAATTACATAATCATCATCGTAACGATGATGATTATGTAATTTGCATTCATCAATATATTTCACTTTGAAAAAAGTTGTCAAAATTCTCCCTTTCTTCCTCAAAAGATAATTATATAAATCATTCTGAAATCGCTTGAATTAATAATATAATATAATTTTCTGTTTATAATTAGTTTTAACAAATAATTTTTTTTTTCTTTTTTAGAATAAATTTCAATTCTGAGACAAAAGACCAACTTCAGATTGATATATATAATTATCTTTCATTTCATTATCATCATTGAATATATATTATCCTCAAATAAAAAAAAATGAAATTTTATCTTTATTAAAATATAAAGATTTTTGAACAAATTTGTTGGAATTGTATTGAGAATGATATTTTTCTAAAGAAAAATTAATTTGTATATGGTAGTTAACTAGGTAATAATTTATTTTAAAAACTAAATTAATTTTAACAAAATATAATTTATAAATCTTGCAATATTTCTCAAACTTTTGAAACATCATATCTTTTTTAAAAAAATAATTAAATACTATGGATACAATTCTCTGAAATACAAAAATAAATTTTTAAGTAACAAAAAAATACTATTTCATTTGTAATAAATTTTATACAATTTTTTCATAATTTAATCTTCTTCAGAATGTAAAAAAATATAAAGAAAAATGTCCCATTTTTTTACAGATTTATAGATTAAATATGTATTCTGTAGTTGAGAAATATTGTTGTTTTTCTAGTAAAGTTTTGGTTTCTTGTAGTTACAAATCTGATAGATGTAGAAAAAATTGTTGAAATGCTATTAAATCCTCATAAAAAAGCTCAAAATTATAAATTTAGATAATTATTCAAAATTAATTTTTAATTCATTAAATAAACAAATTATACACTGTTACAGAATAAGTAATATATTCTGTACTTAACATCATTTCAAACAAAATGCAAATATCATACAAGAAAGTCAATTCATGAAACTATTTACCGAAAGCTGTATCAAAGGGTAATTTCACTAAGTATTTTTGTCATTTACAAGGTATCAGAAAGTTCCTTGACTAGGACTATAAGAATTTACAGGATAATGTTGTTAGAATTTGTCATCCCCTTCAAAATAGTCCCCTTGGAGCATATACAACAATCCCAGTGCTTCTTCCATGACTCAGACACCACAGATGTCTTCTTCCTGCAGTTTGCAGGTATTCAATACCATCTGCAATTCCTCTTGGATTTCATTGATGGTCTCGAAGCAATGCCCTTCCAACTTCAATTCCTCCTAACACAAAGTTACAGTGGGCTAAATCAGGTGAATAGGGAAAGTATAGAACAACCATTATCCTGTTTTCTGCCAAAAACTGCATCATCTTCAGAGAAGTTTGAGAGGATGCATTATTGTAATGCGACAGCCAATTGTGAGCAGCACAGTTCTGCTCTTTTTCATCTCACATTTTCTTGTGCTTCAAAAGATTGCAGTAAAAGTCAAAATTGACTGTCATGCCAGGAGGAACAGAAGAACAATGCCCCTAATGTCAAAAAAAACCTGAGCATGCATTTCATTGCATTCTGACTTGCTGTGCCTTTTTTGATTGTGCATTCTGACTTGCTGTGCCTTTTTTGACTGTGGGAAACAAAACAACAGTCATTTTGTTAAAATGACTGTTGTTTTGTTTCAGGATCATAACCATAGACCTGCATTTCATTAACTGTAATGATCCGTAATAGGAAAGTCAAGTCATCGTTGTTCATTTCACAAAGCTCAATGTACATCATGGTGTTGCTGCTTTTGTTCACCTGTCAGAGACCAGAGCACAAACTTTGCAGCAATGTGATGCATGTTCAGATTGTCTGTGAGAATCTCCTAGCAATCTCCATAACTGGTTGCAACCATTCCACAGAGCTGATAGATTGCTTGGCAATGGTCTTCATGAATCAGTTGGTCAATTTTGGAAAGTGTCAATTTTTTTGACACTTTCTTCTCTTTTGGTGGTGGTTGGCCACCCAGAACACTTGTCATCTTGAACCAACACTTGACCAGTCACAAAACATGCATGCCACTCAAAAACCCGTGTTTGACATAACAAATGTTCACCTAAAGCCTGATGAAGTATTTTGAGAGTCTCTGTAGGAGATTTCCCACGCTTCACATAAAACTTAATGGCTGTATCCTGCTTGAATCTGTCAGACATTCATATCAACCACAGAATGGTCTTTGCACTACTTTACAAAAACCACATATAATGACTGAACCATATGTTTGCACCATATGAACCAATGTGTTTGCATCATAATGCCACTGGGCAAACTGAATCAACAGATTTGGAAGAAATGACCTTAACAAGCATAAGCACTTTTCATTGAATGGTACAGTAATGCCAGCTACCATCTGAAAACTTTCTGATACCACTTCATACCTTTGTTTTGTAGATATTGTCAAATTTACTTAGATTGACCTCATACTTTCAATTTAAAAAGGAAATATTTAATCTTTCCTTCTTAAATTGATATTAGTATGAATTTTAACATCTCAATTGAAGATTAAAAAATTCATAAACTTTTCAGATATATTAAATTGTAATAAGAAAGTTTATTCATCTTTGATTCATGATTTAGATATTTATTTAGTAGATTTATTATGGTTTTACAACTGAATTAATAGCAAATTATTAATAATTGGTACTTTGTTTTATTAACAGAGATGTGTACCATAAAACAGATTATAATAATGCATGAATTATTTTAAAATAATTATGCATTAAATATTTGTAAATTTATCATTAATTATAAGTGTGCTTGATAAATTAATCTTAAAGGTTATAAAGTTGCAGTTTATTTGAATCAAAGTTTAATTAACTATTCTATATGATAGCAATTAAACAATGAATTATTTTTAATCTATAGCAAATATGAAAAGTTACAAATGATTTCAATGAAATCATAAGCAGATTTTCTAATATAACAATCATATTCACTATTCATATTAGACATATATCAGAAATCTTGTTGTTTTTCATAATGCTTTTCATTGGGATCTTTTTTCAAATTGAACTTTTTAGTAAAAAAAGGATATTCCATATTACCTTTTAGAAGTTATGCTAGTTTCTAATTTGATAAAAGCTTTTATTTTACAAAGTAATTTGTATTATGGATAAATTAAATGTCATTGATTTTATATATATTTAATAGAGCTTAATATACAGGTAACCCCCGTATAACACGGTAGTTACGTTCCAAAAAATTGCCGTGTTATGCGAATCCGTGTTATACGAAACAAAGAACTAATACGAAAAGGAGGGTTAGGTTCCTAAAATTAAAAAACATGCTAGTATATTTTCATAATTAAGATAAATATCTTCATTAAAATTTTTTAAGTGATACAATGTTTTCTTCGTCATCACTAAAAACACTATTAATTAACCGAGAGCGTTTTCTTTTTGGCAAGTTATCCTTATCCTCTGAGCATTTTTCTGCATTATCTTCAGATCCATGCTTTACCTTTTGCAAAAAGTATGTAATTTTAGATTGCTTGCTTCTAGTTAAAAGGTCTTTATAAATTTCCTTATATGGTGCTAAG